TCCTCATCTCTCCTTCCGTTGTAGCATGGTAACCAATCCCTGCTCAGAATTTCAAATTGTTCCAAGGTTGTCCAGATGACTTTTGTGATTTGACATCTGAAAATGAATATAGAGACAATCAATTGATTTCATTTTGCCCATTTCCTGTTCAGAATATCTTATAGAGAGTGAGTAGAGAACCATAATGAGAGTATTGAAAAATGTTCAAGTCACTTTCATATCTACGTGGAGTCGTGTAAGATTGAAATTATTTATGAGAAGATGAAATCACACTGCATACCTACTGTTCTATACCGGGTGACAAAGAAGATAGAGAATAGCTGCGGCGCATTTTTTCCTTCTATTCATAATATTTTGCAATAATTTTGTTCTTAATCAGACTTTCCCAATATACAATCAGAATATGCATGTTCACTTATACCCTGATCCCAAAATGATATATTCCAAGGTATCATTGTAAGTATCATCATATAGTCTTGAAATGGCGACGTGGTGTCGTCTACCCTGTCTTCATTGCCAACCAGTATATATAGGTATATATTATTGTATCAAGTTATGAACGTTGTAGTTACTTACCCTGTAACTTAGATGAGAAACATACAGTATCTTTAATCACAATCATGATTTTCGATTAGAAAGAGATTCTTATTCAGTCTAAGCAATAACGCCAAACACGAACTGCATACCAACACCGAATGAACTAATGCACTGAAACAACGAAATGGACGAGACAAAAGCATGCCGTCGCTAAAGAATTCACAGACACGTGTACATCAGTCAGACCGACACTGACCGAGTGTGTACGAAACTTTACATAAGTCACATTGTGCGCTACATTCATGAGTATGCGAGTACACTGATATTTCCAAGTATTGTTCGATATTACTTTCATAAATGAATTTCCTTGAGATGTGAGAGAGATTCACATATTGAAGCATATTTTCGTTTCTTCATTCTGCACAATGTGAATCAGTTTGTCAATTCAGATACATCAAATTATGACTCTCAACGACTGAAATTTCAGATTCTGAAATTATAGTCGTTGTGAAGTTAAGGGGCCTCATAAATATTATATCCATATTGGTCTCAGATCCAACAGAATGTGATGAAATTTGCGAACTATCTGTCACACAAGGAATTCCTTGTAGATATCAGCGATGCAATATTGTGATTCGCTTATTTTGTGACATCAACTGCCATGAATGCGACATCTCATAGATGTTTGTGTTAAAACTGGGTGGAACTCCAAAGGAACTCCAAGAGAGAAGACAGTGCCATGCTATTTCTACCATACTGCACGTTGTAAAAATGAAACCAGTTGTCCCTATCTTCATAACGATCAGAGTGCATTCCAGGAGGAATGCGTTTTAAAGAGGGGGCAGTGTAATGATATTTCCCTTGGAGGCGCTTTAGACACTTCAGCAGTAAGACAGGAGTACAACGATCATTCTGTATCACGCATCCCAGATTGCTCTCCAATCTCTCAATGATTCCTACATACACCCAAGGTTGGTAGAACTGATGATAATTTTGTAGAGGAAGGTTGCCTCGATCGCACCATGATCGCACCCCGCGAGTCATTCGTGACGTAATAGGCTCTTTCTTTTGTACGAAAAATGTAGCACTTTCGTACACTTCGTGTAAGATATGTACGGCGGTGCATGTATTGAAGTGACAGTTGTCAGTATTTTTGAATATTTGAATTCAAAAATGTAGAAACGATAATTTGTTCATCAGCTCCTTGTTCAAATTTAGTCTGAGTTTCCATTCATTTCCAAAAGATAAGTCGATTCGTGAGAAATGGATTCAATTTAGTGCAATTTATTCAATTCATTAAATACCAAAACTTTTGGCGAATATCTTCTGCTCACTTCAAGGCAGAGGATTTTGGACGAAATCTACAAGCGTAATCACTAAATTATACACCAAAGAGAAGAAACCTCAAGGTATGGAAGTTTGCGATTTCCAATATGACTATACTCAGGACAGAGGTGATGGATATAGAAAAATGATCAGAAGATACAGTTAGAGACCAGTTGCGAATGTTCAGAGATTCTTGTTGGTTTTCATAGTTTCGATTCCCCATTCTGGCATCTGCAAAAATGTTAGATACCTACCATTTAGTTCACAGCATGATACCCATAAACAATATTTATATACTCTCTTGTAGATATTATATGTATTTGCATAATATGTAATATTGAAAAATGTAATGCTATAATCGAAATAATTAAATAAATAATACATATCTATATTTCACTCCACTTCTTTTCATTGGAATGGTGCTTTTTGATTAGTACCCTGGTCTCCACCCTGACGATATCTTTCATAGTCCTAAAGTTACCTGAAAATTATATTTCTTGTAGTTTCTTGTTCATTTCATCTGATTTGAAAGATATAAATATGCATAGGTACATAATATTCGATGCATATAAGTTTTCACTAGTTCCACAATTATGCTCCATACATTAAAACGCACATACCTGGTACATAGCCTGGGACCAAATTTCAGATAGATATTCCACTCTGGCCTACTGATCCATCCAAAATTGCCTTCTTATTTCAAAGATTGGAGGCATTAGACGGAGGTATTTATTGATATCCGTATTTTATAATGGTACTTATAATAACATACTATAAATTATTATAAATATGCTGAGCAGATCAAAAAGTTTGTATACTCTATTTCGTAAACAACATTTCATGACATTTTGCTTCGGGGTTGACATCTTGTCAGTGCTTGTCATCTTACTGCCTGTGACGTCACGAATGACCGTTTCCCCCCTTGCCGCACTATCGATCGAGGCAACCTTCCTATACAAATTATCATCAGTTCTACCAACCTTGCATACACCAACATATTTCCGAACACTCAATATATGCCGCAGTGACAAAGAACGTCACAGAAGATTCTGGAATGTTCTGGAAACAATCGATGGAACAATTAGAGAGAGAGGTTTGTTCTAAGAAGCTTCTAGAACAAAAAGAAGGAGACGGAAGATCATTTCGAGAAGGTTCTCGAACCAAAGCCTGCCTGTGTTCTCATATATAAAACGGCCGAACAAAACAACTGAGTCAGTCAGGCAAACAGCGAGTGTCAGAGAGACAGTTATATACCGCGTGTTATAAATCGTTTTACATAAATAGTAGTTATAAGTTCGATATAAATTAGTGTTTCTTCAGTTTAAATAAATCAGTTGGAAAATAAATAGTGTCGTGTTCGCTTCTGCACCCGAATAACGTAACAATATGTATAATCATATAGAAGTACTTGATGCAAGACATTCTACCGTGTCCCGGCCTGCATATAAAATGCACTGTGTGAAATGTTATTCGAAGGAACAAAAAACGTATACACAGATACAGGGTGATGAGAATTCTGAATCTTGAAGAACCCTGTATTTTTTCCAATTGAATTCCAGTAGATACTGAATCACAAGTTCATAGATAGGGACACCCCAGATAGCACAAGTATATCTTATATGGATATACTATGGATATCCATCATGGATATTGTGGATGTCCATAAGATATCCGAAAAAGGCTCTGGTATATCCTATGGACGTCCATAGGATGTGACAGTGTGACCTTTTTGGATGTCTTAAAGATATTCATTATGGATATCCATAAGATATCAACTATGGATATTGATAAGAGATAGTATAATATGTACCCTATATATAGAAAAAATCACAAAAATTGGGAAGCACTCATACGTCTCACTGCGTTCGAATAATGTATAGTTGTCAGTTCTTAATATGCATCATCAATTTTGGACGAATTCGTGGGAATCACTTCCAAATTCACTTCAAATTAATTAAATATAAGAACAGATTGACAATATTTGACTATTCCAAGGTTGATGGTATGATCTATAAATAATAATCATCAGTTCTAACTCTACCAATCTTGGACTATTTGAGACCCCACTAAGCAAATTTGGAAGCTTTGTTGATACAAGGTTGTAGCAATTACTGGAACGGACGTTCAGCAACATTGCAAATGTAAATTTGTAAATGTAACGTTCCAGCAATGTCACAGCAACATGTAATATTGCTTCAACGCTACATTATCAAACTTCATCTTTGCAATATTGCTGAACGTCCGATTCAGTTATTGCTTCAACATTACATCAACATAGCTTTCAACTTTGCTTAGTGGGACGTTACACCACCTCGCGCTGTTTTTGAAAACCAAATTAATAATAATAGCAGATAGGTATATAGTAGTGCATCACAATATATGTGCTATCTTTTGGAAGACCCACGCACAAGTGTTACTTTTTGTGGATCTCCTTTTATTTATAAAATATAAACAATAATATTCCCGTATAACGGCGCCACTGGTAGAGAAAAAGGAAATTTCTGTACATCAATATAAAGACGACGTTGTACCAAATTTTATCAAGATGTATATACAATAAATTGTCTAAGTTATTTTCAGAAAACTGAAAATTTCTCGATACTTCATCACCCTGTATCTCAAAAGTTGAGACTTTTAGGTCATATAATATATAGGTTCTTACGAAGTTTTCTTTTTAAAATGAGTCAAAGAATCACCCCCTCAAATATTATCATGTCTTTAAGGAACACCCTGTATAGTATATTGTCATCCAAACTATGTTTTAAAGAAATTAGAAACTTTCCTATCGTAAAAATGAATCAATTTTTTCGTGAAAATTTACGGTATTTGACTTGAACATTCCAATATAGTTACGAATGTAACTTTTTCTTGAACTCGAATATTCCCGCGATTTGAACTTGAATAATCATATGAACTAATCAAACACATACGTTCAAGATTCTGCAATCGACCCAATTCAGAGGTTGAATAGGAAAAGAACACGACAGAAAGTCTAGACACATCTAGAACTACGTGGTAGGCCAATGATTCAGCGCCAACAAATGCCATTTCCACCAATGAACATATGCCTCGTTCAAATCCGGACCAATCACAGACCAACACGATTACCAATATATTCTATATTTCTGACATCTCCATGAAGTTTCATCAGTTTGTCAAAGAGGAACGTAGATCAAAGAACTGTGAGTGAAGACCACAAGATTTTCAGTGAAAAAAGTTTAATTTTATAGTGTGTGGATTGATTCTAATTATTCTGCGTAAGTATTATGATAATTTTGGGAGTATCAATTATTGTTGTAGCATTATCAACATGAAATTCTGATTGATATATCACTTCATGACCGGTTTCTGTAATCTCTTCAAGCAATAATACAAAATATAACTATTATCCTTATAAAATCAAAGTTTTTATACCTTCTAAACTTAGATGCAATGGTTTATAGTCTGTAGGTATGTGTATTTTCATTGAAAAAGGATATTGAACATTATTTTGAAGTGACGTGTCATTCATTGAAAATGTACAGTTAGGTATGTTACTACAGTTTTACCCTACACATCAGCAATCTGCCCACTAATTCCGTTATTCGTAACACTTCATTTCATCATTTGACTCATTTGAGGTTTCCGTTTTTTTTCAGTTGAGACCTTCCAAAATGAGGTTATTCCTAGTAGCAGTTGTGTGCCTGCTGGCCACTGTTTTGGCCAAGGATGAGAAAAAGGAAAAAGATGAGGTTGGCACTGTTATTGGTATTGATTTAGGAACAACATATTCATGGTGAGTTATTTCATATTGGGTCTTTTTATTTTATGAGATGATTAGAGCCCTAAATTCCATCAATGCCTTAATGATTTGCCATCTCACCTAACATAGATATTGTGGTAAACATTTGTACTTATTTTGTTGTAACTAAGATATCATTTTGAATTGAAATTTGCATCAGCCTAAGTTTTGATTATATAAATGAATTATCAGTTACCATTTATGTTTCAATTTATGCACTGTTCACTGTTAGACATTATGAGATCATACAGTCAACTTGTGTTACTGGTTCCTTGAAAATCTCCAGGAATGATTTGTTATTCATGTTCTACTCAGAGCTAAGCTGATAAGTCCACCATAAGGATAATTTATACCTATGCTAAAATTCAAAACTGAATGAAACTTCCTTCCCCACCATTGTAACTGTTGAGTCCAAGTTGAATAATAGTTATTTAACCAACTAGTGTATTAATGAGGGCGATTAATGATCGAGATATTTTAACGTGCGAGCGAAGCGAGTGCGTTAATGTTCCAGATCATTAATCACCTTTTAATATACAAGTTGGTTACAACATTTTTCCGTCGACTATATTTCTCATTTCTCCTGCAATGAAGAAAACTTGGTTCGCCAAAACAACATTCATCCGGAAACTGCTAAGAATCACCCAGTATAGCCTTGTTACTGACATCAGACACATTTGACATTTGTCGAAATGATCAACATAGGAAGTAAATTCCTTGTGTTAAAAACAGAGATTAATATCATGTCAGAAACTTGGAAAGGCGAACCCGTTAACGGAAAATCGTCAATGAAATCCATATTTTCGATTTGAATGCAGATTCCGTAAATTATAGCATATACAATGAATGAGGTCGACGGAAAATCAGTTTTTACTGGCCTTTTTTTGGAGTGGGGTTGTTACCTTAGCAACTTGATCAGAAATATCATACAGCTCTTCATACAATATCAAAAAATCTTCCTCAATTCCAATTAAAGACCCCTCAGAGGCCTCTGGAGGCCACAGAACATCCTCTTTGATATTGAACTATAAAGAAATCTCATTGAAGATTGAAAAAACATGAATTGAATAAAATCGTTTTCTCCATGTGGTGCCCCTAATTCCAGCTTAAGCATGAAGAATTCAGTTATCTTGAGCAATTGGTTGTTGCTCTAATTGAGACAAAGTTGCACATTTTGATGCAGATAGCTGATGTGGAAATTCATTTTTCCTATCTAGCTTATTTTTTTGATAGAAGAACTGCTCAAGTTATCCATTTTTAATAAAAACATTCTTCAAGCAATTTGAAAATGATTTTACATTTTTTCTAACACACAAAGAAAGGAACAAATGACTGTCAACTTTATTTTCTTTTGGCATCATTATTGAACAAAAATCTGCAAAATTCTAATCTGCCTTCCCTATCTCCGGAATGAAGACTGAGTAGGAAAAACTTTATAAAGATTTTTTAGTGTCAAACAAGAACAATTTTGAACAATTACAAATCATGTGAGAAAACGTGCAAAATTATGTATAATGGTGGAAGTTGAACAGTTTGACCAGCTTTTCTGATTATTTATATTTTGCCCCTATATTTGTTTGCTTTTATAGCTTCACATTTACCTGTTGATAAAAATAATCCAACATATCTCTCTGCTCTTTGGAAAATTGCAATTTTCTACTAGCATGTGGAAAAGTTCACTTTTCTGTACTCATTTTAATGTTAAAAGGGTCACTTTTCTTCACTAGTGCAGAAAACTAGGTTGTTAAGGTTTTGGGGAGTATATTGACATTTGAATATTTTATAAAAATAAATGTTTCTTTGTGTTAACTTTCTGATTTTTTCCACACGCTAGTAATGATTGCTAGCTGAACTCCCCTAAACGTCGTTCCGTCATCTGCAATCGCGTGCGGAAAAGCATCACTTTCCGCACTTGTTAGGTAATGGTATATTGTTGCACACTATACTTTTCCTACAAATGCACGAATTCAAAGAATACAAGTAATGTATGTAACTTATTGGTATTCCTTTATACTGTGGCACTTTGCCACATTGAATGTTGTGACCATTATGAAAATTCGAATTGAACAAATCTGATGAATTTGTTTCCACAGCTATCTTCAAAATTATTCATTAGAACATTTCAACCATGATATAAAACCAAAAATTCTTGTGAAGTACATCAGACAAAAAACTGTACTTTTGTTCAGAAATATACAAATTCAATATGGCATGCATAAGATACATGTTTGTTTCTTTCTTTGGTAAAACTGCATTTAGCATGCCATGTTTTTTTTTCGAAAATTTATTTTGGAACTCACGTATTTTTGTATGAAAAACACGAATTTGATAATGAAAATGTGAACAAACCATTATTTATTAAGATATTTCACTATAAAGTTACAAATTTCACCTTCTTTTCCGCCTGTCTTCTGGATTGCATTTAAAACAATTCACCCTTCTTTTTTCATTATTGGACAATTAATATACAGGGTGTTTCGAAATTCGACCGACAACGTTTGACAGGTGATAGCCCTCGTGATTTCATAATCATTGAGATAGGAACATTCGGTCTTCAAGTGTTCAGTTCTCGAGATACAGGGCGTTGAAGTTGAGAAATGAAAATAGTTGTTTCGCAATATCTCAAGAATAATTGAATATAATGCATTCAACTTCGGTATATGGTTTCATCTTTGAATGGGTCATTTTTTGACCTGGAAGTCATTCCGGACATTTTGTCCAGTGGTGCCCTACAGGGGGTTGTGGCATTTTTTCCTTCCATATTTTCTACGCCACTGATTAAATTTCGATTATTTCCAATTCCTCGAATTCATTGTTCAATTTTGTTCAGAAAATGCATCACCTTCAACTGAGCTGAAATAAACAGTTTTCGAGATATTCGACCCAAAATAGAAGATTGCATAGTAATATTTCATCATTTTCAGTAGTAGAAAATTGCAAAAATATTTTTCTGGTGTTGAGTAGATTAGATACTATTCAGATCTCATGCTATAGCTGAACAGAAATAGTTATTCCACGCATAAAGAGAGAACAAAAATGTTCGTAATTTTCTAATACTGAGGAAGATGAAAAATTACTATGCAAACTTCTATTTTGGGTCAAACAGGGTTGAAAAAGAACATGTATTTTTTAATTTTATACAAAACACATGTTTTTTTGTTTTGAACGGTTTTTTTTGTTTTAAACATTGTTTTTTTTTGTTTCTGAATTTATGATTTAAACAAATAAAACTTAGAAAAATACATTGTTCAAATCAAATTTTTTCAAACACAATATTAATTCAGAGATTAATTCAAAATGTTTGATATAATAATCTTTAGTATTAGTCCACTAAATAAAAGTTTCCTTATTTGAAGTCAGACTCTGTATACTGAACTAAACTTTCGCGATCAGCTGTGTTATGAACGTCGCGCCATCGCTGTGAGGATGTGCCGGTTAATCCCCGAAATAAGAAAATCAATTGCAATATGCATGTTCGCGTTCAGAATATAAACAGTCCGAAACAATCAGGAGCATGCGCAATTTCACAGAACAGTACACATTTTCCAAGTTCCGTGGAACTGCGCATGCTTCTGATGGTTTCAGACTGTTTATTTTTCGAACGCGAACAAACCTGATGAGGACTGTTGGCCTGGGGAAACCACAGACCATTTTTAAATTCGCATTGCCAGTGGGCTATACAGTGTGTCCCACACACCATGATCACCATGGGTATCTTTTCTACGGTAAGAGATACGAGGTCGGTTAAATGACACCAAATGTGGAGTTTTGTTTTGAACAAAAACTGTTTAAAACTTGAGCACATGTTTAAAACATGTTTAAAACAGTTGATTACAACAAAATGTTTAAAACAAAACAACCCTGGGGTCAAATATCTCGATAACTGTTCATTTTAGCTTAGTTGAAGGTGATGCACTTTTTCAACATAATTGAACAATCAATTCGAGAAATTAGAAATAATTGAAATTTCATCAGTGGCGTAGAAAATATGTGCGGAAAAGTTATCACAACCCTCTGTAGCGCACCTCTGGATAAAATTCTCGGAATGTCTTTCTGGTCAAAAAATTAACCATTGGAAGATCAAACCATATACCGAATTTGAATGCATTATATTCAATTTTTCATGAGATATCGAGAAAAAACTATTTTAATTTCTCAACTTCAACGCCCTATATCTCGAGAACTGAACACTTCAAGACCGTATGTCCCTATCTCAGAGATTATGAAATCACGAAGGTTATCACCTGTCAAGCGTTGTCGGTCGAATTTCGAAACACCCTGTATATCACAATGTAAGACACATTTTTTGTATTATTGAGTCAACTAGAAATATGATTTTCTTGTGATTTATCCATATTTAGTGAAAAGAAGGAAGATTATCATTTAAAATAATGGCGTGTGTAATGTCATACAAAAGCACTCTGTTGACATTTGACATCTCATATTTGGATTGACTATTAATTAAATGGCCGTTATCTGGTATGCTTGTTCACTATGGAAAACTCGCCATAAAAATCATATTTCCTGTTGAATTTTCTGTATAAAAATGTGTCATTGAAGTACAGGGTGGCCAACTAAGACTCCAGAGTTCGATTTCTCTGTTGTCTTGAGAGATACAAAAAAAAGTCATGTATCAAAATTGAAGTAATAACCGAGCTTCACATTTCAAAATTTCTTTGAAATACACAGAGTGTTCCGTAAGGTCACAGCACATCAAAGCTATGTTTTTTTCATTGGAACACCCTATATTTTATTTCATTTTTGAATTCTCCCTGAAGATCTGATTTCAACGACGTATCATACTTAGGGTCTATCAGTGAAAGTTACTGACATATAGGGTGTGCAAAATCGAGATTTTCCAAGTTCAGGATTTTTTTGTGTCGAAACTGTTCATTATTCGTCAAAACGGTTTACATGTCCCTATTTCAACTTTTCACTCACTATCAATTGGTGTTCAATTGAAATTGATACAAGGTGGTCAAAAAATCTAAATTTTTAATTTGTTTCAATTAAATGTCAATTGAACACCAATTGATAGGGAGTGAAAAGTTGAGATAGGGACATGTAAACCGTTTTGACGAATAATAAACAGTTTCGACAGAAAACAATTCTGAACTTGGAAAATCTCGATTTTGCACACCCTATATGTCAGTCACTTCCACTGCTAGACCCTAAGTATGATACGTCGTTGAAATCAGATCTTCAGGAAGGATTCAAAAATCGAATAAAATATAGGGTGTTCCAATGAAAAAAACATAGCTTTGATGTGCTGTGACTTCACGGAACACCCTGTGTATTTCAAAGAAATTTTGAAATGTTAAGCTCGGTTATCACTTTAATTTGAATGCGAAACTCTTTTTTGTATCTCTCAAGACAACAGAGGTATCGAACTCTGGATTCTTAGTTGGCCACTCTGTACATCATGAGTATATAAAGTGTCCAATGACAAAATAAGAAGAGCAAGTACCTGTAAATGCATCCAACACAAGGGGATAAAGGAGTCGAAATTTCGAACTTTTTTTTGAAATATCTTGATAAATAGTGGTTTGTTCACATTATCATTGTCAAATTCGTGTTTTTCAGACAAAAATACGTAAGTACCAAAAAAAATTTTCTAAAAAAAACCCATCGCATGCTAAATGCAGTTTTACCCTTTCTTCATCTGTTGGAAAATGTAATATTTTCGAATTCTTCACTTTGATTATTTTTCAGTTGAAAGTGGATTACTTGATCACTGTCCCTATAAAATTTTTTAACAAAAATATCAAAATTGAGTTTTTCTGTGGTATCTTAAAAACTAATAATCATAGATCAGTGGTCATAGTCTCTCTGGAAAATTGAAAATATTGGAAATTATGGAAATATTGAGGGAAATATTTCAAAAAATCATTCATATGGGATGTTTTAATTAATTTATCATTCATATTTTGTAACCCTGTAGCATTAAACTTGATATAGAACAATTTTCACAAACACACTAATAGTGAATATACCAAGCTCCACAATTCATCAATTTTTGTATCTCACAATGAAAACTTTCTGAAGAAAATAGAAAAGGGCTATCAATTTCCATTTCCGATACTGAAAATTTTGAGGAAGTAAACAGGCAAGAAGATGTTATTGAGTGTGATAACATAAGGATGAAGATACAGGGTGGGCCACCAGTAACGCCTCGGTCTCTAGAAGGCTAACCACTTATCTTCTTGGAATTCTTCCTCTCTAGGAAGTTGCATGTCAACATAGGCTACCATTTGAAATTATTTTGAAACATACAGGATGTCCCCAAAAATCACAAAACACTGATAATCGGCCGATACCGATAATATCTTGGCCGATAACGGTATATATCGGCATATCGGCCTTTTTTAATTGATAACATTCATTATTAATTATTATTGTCTAAAATCTGAATATTCTGTAATATAATTTATAATTCTTTAACGTTCAATTTAAAATCATAAAAATAAAAACAAAAATTGCACTTTGAATGAACCGTAAATTCGGCGAAAAGGAATCGGCTGAACCCAGAAACAACCGAGACACTTATTTTTTTACATGATAATTTGCCAAAACTACAGTATTCATATTAAATGCCTATTTCATGTTATATCTACCATAATTTCTTAAGATTACCTTATTTCAAATATTACTTCAAATTTAAATATAAAAAATTTTTAAGCTGCTGCATCTATCGGCCGATACCGATAATCGGCCCTCGGCCGATATAGCCGATATATCGGCATCGGTATCGGTATCGGTCGATCACTAGCTACTACCCCCATATATATAGATGAATATCTTCAAAACTCAATTAACTCATCGTTTTTGAAAATTCATTTTCAACAGTATATTCGAAATGAATGAAGGACACATGCCTTCCCTGTTTCAAAATTTGCATCTTAAAACTCACCCTGGTAACTACCCCCGAATAGATGGAAATTATGTAAAATTATCCTTTCTGGAAATTTCTCTTTCAGAACAGAGAAAACATTCATACCCTGTTTGAAAATTTGTATCCCAAAACTCACCCTGGAAACCACCTCCGAATAGATGAAAATTAAGTAAAATCATCGTTCTCTCTTTGTTTTGAATATATTTCAAGGAAGCAATTTCCAGAAACGATTATTTTACATAATTTTCATCTATTCAGGGGTGGTTTCCAGGGTGAGTTTTGAGATACAAATTCTGAAACAGTGTAGGTATGTTTCCTCTGTTCATTCTGATAATATTGTGAGAAAGAAATTTCCAGAATCGATGATTTTGCATAATTTTGATCTATTCGGGGGTGGTTTCCAGGGTGAGTTTTAAGATACAAATTCTGAAATGAATTTTCAAAAACGATGAGTTAATTTAGTTTTGAAGATATTCATCTATATGTGGGGGTAGTAGCACCCTATTTGTGTGTATACCTCAATTCATCATTATAATCATCATATCGACGCAAAACATTTGGATCGCAAAGTCCAAATCTGAATGTTGAAACGGAAGAATCGATGTGATAATATTTTACACCTGTGCGCATATACTATTATTCCGTTTCTGATACGGCGACCGTTTCTATTTTCACACCGGTGGCCTTCTATTTAAAATAGGTAACCGCAGCGGCAGTTGTTTTTGTTTCATTATCCAACAGCCGTGGCGGTCGTGTAGACAGTGCCTACTAATTATTATTATCATTATTATTGCCGGACCGAAACGTGAATATTTGTTCCAGTGTCGGCGTGTACAAGAACGGCAGAGTGGAGATCATCGCCAACGACCAGGGTAACCGTATCACGCCGTCGTACGTCGCCTTCACAGCCGACGGCGAGCGTCTCATCGGCGACGCCGCCAAGAACCAGCTCACCACCAATCCGGAGAACACTGTGTTCGACGCCAAGCGGCTGATCGGCAGGTACGATCGAAATGTCCTAATGATCATTCACTAGAGTCTAGCCGTATCACCATTGCAGTGGTCAATCCATTAACCATATATTCCTTGAACAAAAACAATATGAGTTTCTAGATACCATTTTTCATTGTAGCCCTTCATATTCATATTCAATATGTTTGAAAGTTGAAATCTAAAAAGTGTTTTTTTAATTACTCCCGTATTTAATGAGATATCAATCTCAACATTGTTACATTACTTCAGCACAAAGAGTTACATCATGTGAGAAAAACAAAACAGAAAAAAACTATCAAATATTCAAAATACTGGGAGTCAAGTACACACTTACCCCTATATTTTTTTTGTACGTGCGCTAATGACTTCCTATCTATTTTTCTTCAAGTGTTCAATCATTTTTGAGTATTTTTTGTTTTTTTGTAATATTTCGATAATTTTTTTTTTAAGATAATTCAAAAACTACTGGTTATTGTTTGATGGCAGCTTACGGTAATCTCATAATGTTCACATATTCCTATTTACTTCGTCGAAATTGGAAAAGGGCGTAACTATTTACGTACGAAAAGGTGAATATGGGTGCTCAGAGCAAATGTATTAAAATAATTTTTACGAAAAAAAAAATTGATAGAAATTCAACACGTCAGAATGAATTGCTGGATATGAATTTTTTGAATACAGATGCGAGCCCTTTTAATTATAGAAAATCTTAGCCTATGAAAAAATATGTGGCTTATACACAAAATCTTTTATACATCCCTAGACAATCCTGATCTGCTATTTTTTTTCATCAAGTAGCTTTTAAAATCATGGATATCATGATTTCACCTAAAATTTCCGAAAATATTGTTTTTTATTTTTTCCGATTTTATTTCCCGTTCGTTCGGGCACGACATATCGTACGGGGGAGGGATCCTAAATATTTCTCAAACATTTCGCAACTCCCAAAACCGCTCAAACCGATTTTAAAAAATTTTTAAAAAATTTGCTGTTCTCGAAAAAAATCAATTTAATGATTCTTTAAAAGGGTGGGCTCGTCAATCGCCCCCCCCCATCCTCCTAAAATCATTATTTTCCCCGAAATTCTTCAATTAAATCAATTAAAAGGGCTCGCATGTGTATTCAAAAAATAGGTCATATCAAGCAACCTTTTTTTTAGACGTGTTGGATTTCTATCATTTTTTTTTGTAAAAATCATTTTAATACATTCGCTCTGTACTTTTCGAATTATCTTGAAATCAAATAATTTTATCAACATTTTACAGGAGACAAAAAATACTCAAAAATGATTAAACACTTCAAATGGGTGGGCTCGTGAATCGACATTTCCCCCCCCCCCATCCTTCTGAAATCATTATTTACTCGAAATTCCAAAGAACTTTTTTTTTTATTTGACCCCGTAAAAAAAATTCACGCCGTTCGATTGGCAAAAAAAATTTATTTGACAGGTGTCCTCACTTTTTTTAATTTTTTTTGGTAAAAATAATTTCAATGCTCTGAGCACCCGGTATTTCCATATTTACCTTCTCGTACGTAAAAAAAATACGCCCTCTTCCAATTTCGACGAAATAAATAGGAGTATGTGAACATTATGAGATTACCGTAAGCCGCATAGGCATCAAACAATAACCAGTACTTTTCGAATTATCTTGAAAACAAATAATTTCATAGAAATTTTACAAGAGGAAATATACTCAAAAAAGATTGAACACTTGAAGGAAAATAGATAGGAAGTCATTAGCGCACGTACAGAAAAAAAATGTCGGTAAGTGTGTACTTGACCCCCAGTATTTTGAATATTTGACAGTTATTTTCTGTTTTGTTTTCCTCACATGATATAACTATTTGTGCTGAAGTAATGTACCAATTTTGCAATTAATATCTTATTAAATACGCCAGTAATTAAAAAAAAACAGTATCCAATTTCCAACTTTGACACCCTGTATATTGAATATGAAGGGCTATAATGAAAAATGATAATTAGAAACTCATATTGCTTTTGTTCAAGGAATATATAGTTAATGGATTGACCTCCTTTTAGCGGACACCCTGTATAAGTAGCACAATTGAATAGACTATTTAGTTTCAATCTTCTCCTGAAGATGCTAACATTTTTAGCGAAACACATGTTGGGGCATATGAATAATCGGTTTTGGTTAGTGGAAAAACTATAGTGTATGACTAAAAGTGACATTTTCCCAATTTTGTCGGTAGGGACTTTTCCGATGCCACTGTGCAGCACGACATCAAGCTGTTCCCGTTCAAGGTTATTGAGAAGAGCGAGAAGCCGCACATTCAGGTGGAGACGAGCCAGGGTGACAAGGTGAGTCGGTTTTAGACGGCTAGATACAGATTCATATAGAAGGAGATCTGGCTGCAGATTTCTACAGTAATCTGATAACGAAATGATATATGTCCCAAAGGAAAGTGAAAACATTGTTGTTAAGAAACTAGAATTTTCAAATAGAAATTTTACTCAGGAGAGATGAAATGGATTGTCGCTTTTGAGAAAAATAATAACTGAACAACTTATAAAACGAGCCTTCAAAATCTTACCTTTTTATTTTCTGTCGCGATCATTGCTGGCCAGCACACACACACGGGAATAATGAGGAAGCTGGAATCACAACACCTTTGACAACACCATTATTGTCTGTTTCACAGAGAGAGAGAGAGAGAGAGCATCTTTATTAGGGATATACCCCAAAAAAATTTTTTAGCCCAGTTTACAATTATAATATATAAAGTATGAATATTAATAATAATAGTAATAATAGTTTAATGAGAAAAAAAAAAGTTAATTGCTAATTGCTTTCTTGCTATCCTGTTTGCTGCATCTGGATCAGTCCTTGAAAAATGGTTATTTCTGGAAATTTTCTTTTTCTTGTGTAGTTTTCCGGCATCCCAATAACTTGTGGACTCATCACTGGGATATTGTAGGCGGACTTCGCGAATTTTGTGCTGAGTCTGTGTAGTCGTTGGAGGATGGGTTCTACTTTAGTGGAATTGTATAGTAGGGTATTGGAAGGGTTATGTAAGGGATTATTAGGATGTCGGATTTTAGTTATAGCTCTTAAACAACTTCTTTCTGCAACTTCAATGTGCTTTAGGGTAGTTTTTCTGCATGTGCTAAACAAGATGTAGCTGTATTCAATAAGAGGTCGACATATGGCTTTGTATATTGATGTAGCTGTTGCTGTCTTTATACCCTGGGTCTTGTGAGTCAAGCCACGAAAATGTTTGGCTCTTCCGATTGCTTTCTTCTTGACGGCTATTAGATGTTTCTGGAACTTGAGCTTATTGTCTATTAATACTCCAAGATATCTAGTTTCTGCTACTGGTTTTACGGTCTCATTCAGGATATCGATGGTCGGGGAATTGTCCTTTATTTTATGGTGGTCTGTTTCACAATATTATGGAATTTTGAATAGCGGACCACACTTGCTTTCTTGCGTGGAGATCATACCGAATTGTCATCTCTTCCTAGTTTCACCACAGAGGGCGCGCTAAAGATTTTGAAGGCATTCTCGCGATATATATCATACCAGGAGAGGTCTGAAAGTATGCTCGATTTTGGGTTGATTATTAATTAAATTATAATAAAACAAGATTGATTAAAACTGAAACTAATAAACAAACACAACAAACACCTACGTGGGGACAAAACAATGGGCTTATATCACAAAAAAAAATTTATTTCATAATTCGATAGAACTCACCCAAACTAGCTCACCACCTCAAACCGTTTCTTGCTGTGAGCTCCCTACGTTTTATAAAAAATTATTGAAATCCCCGATTTTTCGGACCTCTGAAAACGAGGCGATGATGTGACGTCAAAACCCTAATACTGAAACAAGACTATTCCAGACAGAGATGAATGATACATGATTTGTCACAAAGCCCCAAGATTGGTGAATCGTCAAGTTGATTTTTGGGACATAGATGATAAGAACAAGAAGATCAATTCTAACCTATATTAAGTTTCTGCAACTTTCGAATATTAAATTGAAATATTTCGACAAAAGTATGATTGAGAAATGTTCTGTGCCTAATTGCAATTAAAAAAACATCATTTAGCTGGGAATTTTGAGAACAAATCTCGCCCCTCACTGGGTAAACACAATATTATAGTAGTAGTTTTGCTTTGCAGAAATTCATAGGGAAATTGCTTGAAGAATGAATGATCCATCTCCTAGAAGAACATTCAGGGAGATGCAAGCAGTATCTAGTCTTGGGAATAACATTGTTTCATACCAATTGATCATATTGTTGCATAGGTAAACATATCGATCCGTGAGTGATTTAATGAGGATTCTCCCTCGGAATCTCCATATGATGGGTATTCTGATGTTAAATATCCTTTCAGGTGAACAATTTTCCAATGCAACTATAATAGGTACAAGCAATGAAAATTGAATGAATATTGTGGAACTTACCTTTCAGATTTTCTATTCCTCATTTCAGCAATGAGGAACTGTGGAGATTTTCTAGTATGTTAGAGACATAATAGTATATTATGAAACAAGTGTCATAAACGTCTTTTTAGTAACGAGTATTTTAAGCACGAGCGGAGCAGAGCGGAGCGAGTGTTCAATAAACGACTGTCTAGAAGAGTTTATAAACGCGTTACATACTATGATTTTTCTACGAACTCCGAAAATTACATTAACATTCCTGCTATTCCTACTAACCTACAAAATAATACGAAAGGAATGGAAATTGAGAACATAATACATGCAACTGCATGCAACCAGCGAGACACGTATAAGTGATATTGTTTGTAGATGTGTCCAGTCCATTGCTTACTAACCTTTGTTTCACGTTTTTTGTCATGCGTAGCGCAGAATGAATAAATTGTTCTCAAAGATGGATGCTTCAATTTTACACTTCTTGAAGGTATGCAAGTACCAGAACATTCTCTTCGATTTCACTTTCGTCTACATTTTGAATATATTTTTAATGAAGAGTTATGATACAAACGAATATTGTTTGAATAATTCTGATACACGATTTGAAAATAACAGTTGACAGTTAATACAATTGACAGGCCAGACATGTCTCAATTTACCAAAGCTGTGTTTAATGAACTGCGTTGCCATGGTAGTGTGACATGTCTCAATTTACCAAAGCTGTGTTTAATGAACTGCGTTGCCATGGTAGTGTGTTTAAGAAATCGTGTTGCCATGGTAACGTGTTTAATATTTCGAATAAATCACAGATCGACAATCCGTGATTAATCGATCATTTAGCGTGGTACATATCCGTACGCTAAATGCCATTTTAGTTATGTGAGTAGAAAAAAATAATTAACCATTTCCAAATCAATTTTCGGTAGATTATTTGATGAGCCTTTTACAAATCCTGATTCAACGTTCATCTTCATATTCAATATATCAATAATATGTACTAATATGATATATAGCAAGATTTGGAGGTTAATTTCATTACGTGTCTTCTCTTCTCATTTTAGACGACATAATTAACTTCGGAATCGGAATTCGAGACTCGATGCAAATGCAGCTCCATGTGAAACGGGTCAACAAAGCAATGTTGCTGCGTTCATGAAATATATTGGATTATTGTGAAATTGTCATGGTGCAAATGGTTTTGAGATTGAGACATTTCGTTGTTTAGAGATTGTTTATATTCTAATGATTCAACCTACCATCGACAAGTTGAATATATTTTTCTGCAGTAGTGGTAGTTGATATCAAAAGATATTTCAGTATCGATTTCGATCTCTCGGATATTTTGTTTAGATGATATGGCAACAGTGATAAGTGTCACACATGGGTCACTCTATGGGTCACGCTCATTGGTTCCAGGCGAGATGAGGTTTCTACGTCATAAAGAGGGTCCGTTTTCAGAAGGTACTATTATTTATGTCCAAAAATAAAACATTCCAGTTAATTTTTAGATGGAATTATGTCGTCAATCGTTATTTATGTATAAAGGATCATTATGAACATGGTTTGAGTTGAAAGTTCTACTAAGGTGTACACGCCCATTACAGACGGAAGTATGTATGGAATAATTGCAGCAAATAAATCGCTGTGCCGTTGATTTGGCTCAGACTGAGGGGTATCACATGTAGATTTTTACTGCCATTCAATTGGTATCGGATGGCACAATTCTTATCTCGTTATCAAATCGCGAATTCGAGTGCAAGTTTCCGCACAGGAAAGTGCAATTTTTCAATGATTTTGCTCAGGATAGTGATTGGCACAGTTGCCGTTTAATATGGTTTCACATGCCTTTGGGACATATATCATTTTGTTATCAGATGACGGTCGAAATTTGCAGAAGGCTCTTGGACTAATAGTACATACAGGGAATATCTTCATGAGTCTATACAGGGTGTTTCAAAACTCAGTATAAAGATTTCAGGTGCTTATTTTTCAGATCAAAATAAAGCATTTTTTTCATAAAGTATTCGCAAAAGCTTCATTACCGACCTACTGAGCATTGAAATTCCAAGATTTTAATTTTTTTTCTCAATAGCTCTTTTATAGCGTTTTCCACTCGCCGATTACAGAGAGCACTAGCACAGAGCAAGTACAAGTTCGGTTTTTCTAGTGACTTTACAAATAGAGTGACGACAATAGACATCCAAATGGTTGCCATTTCGGGAATGTCAAGTCACTGAATAGCTAGAAATCAGATGGGTATCTCCCATGCATTAATGAATTTGCGCCTTCAAAGTGCCCACCTAATAGGTTTAGGTCTTTGTTATTTTTATTCTGTCATCTAAATAATCTGAGACTTGATTATCATTGAGAGAGAGAGAGAGAGAGAGAGGAATTAATTGCAGAATTACGTAATGAAATTGAAAATTTGGGAATGAAACCGAGGAAATCAAGTAAATTGCAATGTGATATATCATTGAATGGCGTTTTCAATACCCACCGAACTACCTATAATAAGTATATCCATATGTGTCTATTTTGTCATAAAAAAATGTTGTTACATGCATTTTTTTCATTTTTATAACTGTTGTTCTGCGAAAAGTGCCGTATTGCTATAAATTGAAGTGGGTGTTTATACCCTATTTCTATTTCCATCTACGGCTATGATTGATTTGACAGGAAATCTAACCTCTAAAATCGTATCTGACAATCAGGCGCTATTAGGGAAATTGAAAAGACAAAGAGCAGAATATATGTCTTATTCTTTTATTCACTCAAACCATTGTAATATAGAAAATAGAGAAGGACAAGAAGTTCAGCTGTGTCCGAACTCTTTTATCTACTGATACCATCCAGTGACTCTAGGTGCGACCAGTGGAAAACGCTATTAGTATTCGAGATACCCAGATTAAATTTGGAACAGAGGTCACGTTTGAGGGTTTACATTATACAGTATGTCAAGTGATGTAGGAATCTACTGGGAGATATTTTATCAGGGACCAGGCCCTTTTTCGCTTCATAAACTTTCTTGTGGTGCGCCACTGGTAGATATTGAGGTACGAAATGAGCTTTGTTTCGTTTATGAACTCTTCTGTCTTGTAATTTTAAAGGATCTGCGACCGTTATCCAGTAAAACTTTTTTTTTGTAATTCGCTAGATTTCATCAATATTTTAATCAAGTGTTTGTGATCTTTATTACACATTCCCAAACATAAACTAAAGAATCAGAAACTGAACAAACCTTGACTTTTTATAAAAGGTCAAAATTAATGTGCCTAAAATGAACCTAAAATGAATTTTTAGTAATATGCACTATTGAATCATGAATAATGAACGTTTATCGGATCAGTCACCATAATCACAACCATTGAATAATTCACATGTTGCGCAAAAAAGTGGGTCTAGAAAGTGAATGTGAAACATTGAAAATCTCAATTTTCATAATTCAATTCTATAATGAAAATGAGTTCTAGTTCTAATTTAGTTCCCTATACCCTAAACCCAAATTTTCGGAGATATTCCATAAAGATTATTCAATAATTGTGCATAATAACTGCCTTGCAAATTAGGGTGGTCCTTAGTATATCCTATTGTCTTAGAATAAGAAATCTAGAAGTAGTTTAACTCATATTATTCATTACAAGCAATATCAACTCGATTATAAGATCTCCAAACATCTAATGTATCACTATCTAACTTAAAAACTAGAACACATCGAAATCAGGTGAAATGCTGACTCCGTGATATACATAGATCTAAACACAATCTATATACCTAATTAAACAATAGAATCCTTAACCTACTTAATTACCTAACATAATATTTGATTATTCATCATAACTATTTTCTATCTATCTTATACACTACAGCCTGAAATGTTTTATGTTGCTAAGTAGGCTTTGCAAAACATCCTTCAACAAATGAATTGAAGTTGTATACTGTCGAAATTCAACATCTGCAAAAGTGCAATTTTACTCGTGTTTGGTATAATCATCAAAATTGTGTTTCATGTTCAACAAATAGATATAAGAAACATAAAAAATACAACATAAATAACGAGGTGATTTTTTATGTCAGGTGGGTCTCTTTCACGTTGAGGAGACAAACAACACGTGCTCATTCCTCTTCTTGTGAAGGAGAGATAGGGAAAAAAATAACCTCATGTATAGATTATCGGAGTAGTTAATCTATGACATTTGTTACATTCTTATTCTACACAATTTTTTTTTTCCGCGATTATTTCACCGCTAGTAAAAAATACCGTTTTCCTGCAACCGACTCAAAAGTCGTCCATTTTAATTCCAAAATCAGCTCATGAAGTTGACGTTTCCATTACTGACACAAAAATAGGTACCTATGTTGCTAAGCAACACTTTTAGTTCCTAGGAGCTAAAGTTGAACTTCAACTCCTAGGACCTAAAAATGATGCATGTCAACACAAATTGTAACAAAGTGAAGTAGTCTGAGGCCTTGTTTCTATCTACTTACTCATGTCACTTTAATAATCTATCAAGTGAGTCACGTTGGGCGGTTACTTCACTTATATTTATTTTAGTTAGGTGTCAATTTATGTTAATCAATGTTAAGCAACATTGCAAAAGTCATTGATATTTGCGGTGCTTCTGACCTCGATGAAAGCAAACGCTCGGGTTCGGCTGTTTACCTCTAATCAATGATTCACAAACATTCCAGATCAACTTTGAAATGTGATATCTCCCCAAATACTGTTGTAATGGTATTCATACTTTGATTTCGTTTCGTCCTAAATCTTCCACTACCCACAACACATTCATCGCTTTAATTTCGGAAACACCCTGTATATCTAATTAATACTCACTGATAAATCTTCACTATCAATCAGCTACCAGTTTTCACACCACATGTTTCCAGTTTTGCTTCGTCCACTTATCTCTTGAAACCACGACAGAAAATGTGAATGACCAAATTTTTGACGTAGCTACTCTTCAACTGTGGCGAATATTTGATTTTTTGGTTTCAAACCATAAAGTTGCCCATATCTCTCCTACAGCCCAAATAGACTATAGCCATTGATTGGTGAGGTACCGGCTTGATTGTCAGGGACGGATTCAGTCGATTCCGGTCTTACTAGACTCAATGAAAAGAGTCCAAACAATGCTAATCGTAAGAAAGAGATCCAAGATTGTTCAACTACCCATGATTGATATTTTGAAGAAAATTACACCAAAGCCCAATTACTTGAGGTTTGAGTTCAAGAACGTATATGTCATAGACGAAATTGCCAAACAAAATTATCATACGGTTCTCAGATTGCCCCCATGTTTTTGTATTTTTAATCCTATATAATTAATTTGAAGACAATTGAAAAAAAGAATCCGTAGAAAAAATATATTCCCAAATTTCGACCTTAAAGTTATATCTTTAATAACCGCAGAAGTGGAAAATATCAGTGCTGCCGATTGGCATAAAAAAGTGAATAAAGTTTTAAAATTCGAAGAATATTAGATATAGGAACTTGGTAACGGGTAAATTCACGTCTGGAGTTGCAAGTCAGAATTGAACATCACTTAGATGACCTTACAGCTGATCCTCAACCGTTTGGAAAAATAATGCTTCCATAAAATAGTATCGAATCGTGTATTCGTGGAAACAGAGGTCATTTTGAACATTTACTCTAACTGATTCAATATTTTATGTTTCTAGTCAAATATTTCTCTATTTTCTACTCGTGTTTCTTTGTTCAATTAATAACCACAGCACAAGAATGATGTTAGTGTTTTTGAATTTGAATAAACAAGAAATTGATCTCAATAAAATTCATTTTATAGGAGCATCAGCTATTACTCTAATATTTTCAATTCAAAATATTCCGAAAACGGAACACAGTATCGAGTTTTACCTAGAGTACCTTTTTGGTGTGAAATTGAATGATGTTTGAGTTCTGATCAATTTTGGGTTGGAGAATCTAACCTCAAAAAAGTTATGTTTAAAACCAATCGGTACGAACCATGAAACTAGTGCCCTCTATGAGAGTCAGATATAAAAACAAATTCATGCGATGTGTCAGGTTCCAAAAAACATCCATGGTATTTGGTATTGGTAGGTTGGATGGTGACAGATGCGCTGCGACCCAATTAGATCTATTGTGCCCCATCTGCTCCTGCTATATCAAGGATTTCTTGTGAATAGCAGCCCCTCGAGATTCAATTCCTCCAGGAATTTGAGGATTTTGAGGGGGTCTAGCTGTGGTATTTCTTCCACAGTCAGCTGGTGTGTTCCCAGTATGTTCAATCTTATGTGATGTACAGCGTCACACTCCATCAGTATGTGATGGAGTGTTTCTGGTTCTTCCTCACAGAATCTGCAGGTGCCGTCCTCCTGTAAGCCTAGCTTCCTTAGGTGTTCTTTGAGTCTGCAATGCCCCGTTAGAAATCACGTTATTGCTTTGAGACTTCCTTTGCTGAGGTTTGTCAGTGTCTTAGATCTTTCTCGGTTGTCGCGATGTCCTTCTTCCGGTATTTTCTGTCTAGGTTGAACTGGATGCATCTTTCTATGGCGCGTATTTCCGCTGGAAAATGCTGGGGAATTGTCCCATGGATTCGAAGTATTTGGTGCGAGGCCCAAAGACTCCTGCTCCAGTTCCCTCGGGTGTTTTAGACCCGTCCGTATACCAAGTAATGGTGTATCTTGAAAACGGATGCCGTTACGACATTTTTTTACTGAACAAACCTTACCTAATGAGTTGAAAAATATAGAAGAAGCAGAAAAAATTAAAATGAAATTGAAGAAATATTTGCTCAGTAAACTTTAATTCCATATCTACTAATAGTAATAATCATTCACAATTTGATTACTTGTATGGATTATAATATTTTCATTTTATATTTCATTATAATTTTTTTTATGAAAAACAATAATTGTGCAATTATTATTGTTTCGATTTATTATGTTATATGTATGTTTTGTTGTATATATCCCTATTATAAACAATAATGTTTCTTGGGGTAATAAAGACAATCAACTTATTTTGCAGTGTTCTACCTACCCTATCATGGTGTCAGGTTTTTTTGAAACACCCTGTATTGGTATACTTACAATTAATATCATCTTTGATGATCCTACTTAATGAAAATTATTATTATTATTATCATTGTTATTATCAACAGGTGTTCGCGCCCGAAGAAATCTCCGCCATGGTGCTGGGCAAGATGAAGGAAACGGCCGAGGCCTACTTGGGCAAAACGGTAACCCACGCCGTCGTCACAGTGCCCGCCTACTTCAACGACGCCCAACGACAGGCGACCAAAGACGCCGGCACGATCGCCGGCCTCGTGGTCATGCGCATCATCAACGAGCCGACGGCCGCGGCCATCGCCTACGGCATGGACAAGAAGGACGGCGAGAAGAACGTGCTGGTGTTCGATTTGGGCGGCGGCACGTTCGACGTGTCGCTGTTGACCATCGATAATGGGGTGTTCGAGGTGGTGGCTACCAATGGGGACACGCATTTGGGAGGTGAGTTGTTTCCTCAGTCTAAATAACATTATACAGGGTGTTCCTTAATGATATGCTAATATTCAAGGGGCCGATTCTTCGACCCATTTCAAGAATAACACGCCATATTATTCAGTTCTATAGAGGATATGGATGACTGTGATGACTTACAACAGTCCCTGAATGAAATTATTGAATGGTGCAACTCAAATCGTCTTGATTCAAATGTATCTAAATGCATCAGTATGTCATATTCCAGAAAGAAATTTGTAATTCCATATGCTTATATCATTAATAATAATTAACTGAAATGAAATGAGGAAGCTAAAGACTTGGGTATTGTATATGACTCCAGATTCACATTCAACAATCATATCGACACTGTAATTTCTACACCCTCGAAGATGTTAGGTTTCATTTACGGCAATTGTAGAGATTTCAAGAATATATTTGCACTTAAACTTCTTTTTTACTCGTATTTAAGATCTAAACTTGAATATGGTATACTAATATGGTATCCAACAACCTAACCTAACCTAACCAAATTGAAAGTATTCAAAGAAAATTTTTGAAATATTTGTGGATGAAGGTGTATGAAACTTACCCGTCTAGAGGTATCGATAACCAAATTCTTCTGAATAATTTCGGAATAATCTCTCTAGAAAGACGTCGAATAATTTTGAGTGTGACATTTCTTTACAAATTAATGCACAACCAAATCGATTGCTCCGTACTTCTGAATCAAACAAACTTTTTCATTCCAAGATTGAACAGTAGACAATCAAACATGTTCTACAATGTTGCTACTAGAACAAGAATTATGCTGAATTCCCCAATTCATATTATGTGTGATAACTTCAAAAACATTTTCTATATATGTGATATTAATCATGACTCATTGAGAGATGTGATTAATAAATTGTAAGATTATATGCACTAGTTATAGTTATACATCTTGTTTTGGTCATTCTTCTGTTATGGTTAGTATCCTACATTTCTTAAATATAATTAATAATTGGAAGCTGATATTTATTTGTAGCATTTCCTGTTATTGGGTGTAAAACCTGTTGGAAATAAAAGCCTTTTTTTTACATGAACTTATGTCATAAATGTCCTAACTTTTGAGATACAGGTTGTCAATGTTGAAAATATGCATATATTATTCGTTTGTCCACCCTGTATAGTTTTTCGTGATAAAAAAATTCACTCTGCTATGTGACTGAATGGGTATACAAATTTCAAAATGTTGCATACTGTGGTTATCTAGTAATGGATGTCCTGAATGGAGTACTCAAACATTAAAATTTTTCTGGAAACGAAGATTTTGCCGCGAATCTCGAATATTTGAACAGATAGAGCAGTGAATCTCAGATCTATGGATGGTGGAGGCAATACCATCCTGTACATTGTTTCAAGCGTTTCGATTTGGAGTTGAACCTTGATGACATTATCGCGTCCATATATTTGTTTTTTCTAAAATTTGTTCTATCCGTCATATGGACGCATCAAATAAAAGGAGCAATAAAAAATACAAAAGGAACAATTTTTGGACGCATTAATGATAGTAGGATGTATATCTATCCATTTTTTCATGTTTATAATTCATCTGAGACTATTCCTTTGTTTCAAGCGTTTCGATTTGGAGTTGAACCTTGATGACATTATCGCGTCCATATATGGACGCATCAAATAAAAGGAGCAATAATAAATACAAAAGGAACAATTTTTGGACGCATTAATGATAGTAGGATGTATATCTATCCATTTTTTCATGTTTATAATTCATCTGAGACTATTCCTTTTCAATACTTGCACCCAATCAAGGGGTTCAAACTTGAAAGATGTACACTTGTTATTTTTATAGACCTTTAATCCCAGATAGGTTTTCTCAATTCAGAATTTCTTTTCACGTCCTGTATGATGAATATCAATTTGTCATAAATCCAAAAACGAGATCGATTCTCTTCAGAATTCCCACAATTCATTACACAGAAAGGTATTTTCATTTGTTTTTTTCTCAATAGTTATGAAATTATATTACAATTGACGTTCATAAAATGTATTGTCAAATTCAAACAATCTTGAATGACTATGGTGCTCTTGTCACAATGCAAGGTGTGTAACTCAATAAATCTAAACATTAACAAACACTTACAGGTGTCATTTCTGTCCGAACTCTTATCTAATTAATACCATCCAGTGACCCTAGGAACACCCAATTTTGGTTTTTTATCGCTAGATGCCAAATTCATTTCAGACCTCAGACTTTTATACATACACATGCAGGTGAATAAACCCCTGGAAACTTACTAAATGTTCCATTGTCCCTCGTGGACCACTGAAGTCCCTCAAAAAGGGACAAATCCGTCGAGGTGGCAACACTGACTTGGCTCTTCTCCTTCCAGGTGAGGACTTCGACCAGCGTGTCATGGACCACTTCATCAAGCTGTACAAGAAGAAGAAGGGCAAGGACATCAGGAAGGACAACAGGGCGGTGCAGAAGCTGAGACGCGAAGTGGAGAAGGCGAAAAGGGCGCTGTCGGCCAGCCACCAGGTCAGGATCGAGATCGAGTCGTTCTTCGAGGGCGACGACTTTTCGGAGACGTTGACCAGGGCCAAGTTCGAGGAATTGAACATGGTGAGTTGTAGTGTTGATATAGTATATTGTTCAACGAGCACAAATTGATAGTGATTTCCTATGAGAATGAAGTTAGCAGCATGAGCCATGAGGCGAATGCTGCAATCATTCCAGTAGGAAATTATCATTCCGTGCAAGTTATGCACTATAATTTTTCTACGGCTATATTTCTTTCTTGTAGCCATCTGATTTTCTGTCAAGTAATGCTCATCTATTAGACAGGGCTGTCATTGCTTCACATTTGACATTCCATGAGCGATGGGAGTTTTTTAAAAACAATGGAGTCATTGTGATATCAGATACGGAAATAATATTGATGACATTAAAAGTACCTCATTGACTTATCAAACACAGTAAAACAAGAGCAATTTTGTGTTATAGCCGTATAAAATATTATATTGTTTAACGAGCACTACGAGAATGAAGTTTGCAGCATGAGCCATAGGCGTGGCATGGTGTTTCAAAATTCAGTTTCAAGATTTCATGGGCTCATTTTTCAGATCGAAATAAGACTTTTTTCCATAAACATGTCTGCAAACACTTTGTTATCGATCTACAGAGCTTTATCAAGTGTTTTTTTCATAACTCTTTTGGTTTTCGAGATATTCAGATAAAATTTGAAGCATAGGTTACATTTCAGGATTTACATCATACAGTATGCCGAGTGATTGTAAGAATCTACAGGGAGAAATGTTTCCAGGTGTCTGGCTGTTTGTATTTGTTTTGTTCATAAACATCTTTAATTTTTACGCATCTGCGACCGTTATCAAGAGAATATAATTTTTTCTCCGATAGGCAGCAAATATTAATTTTGTACTGGGTACTTTGCTGATTGATATGTATCAGCAAAATTAATAATCCATAAATCGTTTATAATTTCCTTCATATTTCATCCAAGACTTCTCCGGCAACAAATTCAACTCTATATTTTTTGCCACCTCCCTCATTTCTGGAGGTGTAAGTACTTCCAGGTCGCTATCACTGTCCATTATATAATAATTTAAATATACCGCATTTTTCGCACAACTGTCAGAAATTTCATGAATTGTCAAACTATAATTATTATGGACATTTCCATAGCAACCAGCCATTCCAACAACTGCGATTTCTATCAAATTTCATTTTAATTGAACACTACAGGAAAAATAAAGAGATATATATCATTATGAACAATCGGAGAAAAAACTATATGTTCAACTCGGCAGCAAAGTAGATTGACTGCCTTAGCTGGATTCCTAGCCTCGCTACGCTCGGCTATGAATTCAGCCTTGGCAGTCAATCTACTACTTTGCTGCCTAGTTAAACAAATAACTATTTTATTATTCCCTTGATTTAGTTACATTTTGTTACAAAAGGTAGGAACCTTTTATCACAATGAGAACAAAAAACGCTACATATTTAGTTCCTGATCCTAATTACAAGTTTTCAAGCAGTACCTACAGAATAAAAATCATGGAAAAAGAAGTTATTTTGACCTGCAAAATGAGTCTCTGGAACCTTCTTGTCCTACTTCCGCTCGACCATGAAACTGGTCCAAAAAGTCCTGGAGGACGCCCACATGAACAAGAAGGACGTGGACGAAATGGTCCTGGTCGGTGGTCAAAAAGCCCCTCAAAATGTGCGATAACACAAACTTAACACCAATTGCTCGTCTATAAGTTACTTTCGCCATCATTTTGAGTGATATTCTTGCTTTTTCAATCTTCTGAGCAGGACCCGATCGATAACCACAGTATATAAATTTGCAGATCAACTGTCATTTTTATAACTCCAAATGCGTCCAATGTGCGGTTCAGACAGAAAAATCTGTGTAATATACTCTTATAATTCAAGACATTAACAAAAACAAAAAAAATAAGGCTTCTTGTCCTACATTAGGACCTCTTCCGCTCGACCATGAAACCTGTCCAAAAAGTCCTGGAGGACGCCGACATGAACAAGAAGGACGTGGACGAAATCGTCCTGGTCGGTGGATCTACTCGTATCCCGAAGGTGCAGCAGCTGGTTAAAGAGTTCTTCAACGGCAAAGAGCCCTCGAGAGGCATCAATCCCGACGAGGCAGTGGCGTACGGGGCGGCCGTACAGGCGGGAGTGCTGAGCGGGGAGCAGGACACCGATGCCATCGTGTTGCTGGGTGAGTTTACTAATAATAATAATAAAAATATCTCATTTAATTGATAGGCGGTGAAATATATTTTTCTAATTTTGACATGTAATTTGCAACTTTTGAAAACTGACGGAAGTTTCGAAATGTCTTACAGCCGGTTCCATAATCAACTCAAAGGTTCCTTTCATTTAAGAAGTTGTCTATATGTAATAATAATATTAACATTTATTGATCCCACGAAACATACAATGTTTATAGAGGGAAACAAAAAAAGTAATAATAAATGAACCAAATGTGCAATACAATGAAAGATGAACAGTTCAATCAGAATTAATTGATTCGAGGAGAGAGTTAAATTGATAAAATATATTTCTTCAGTTCACACTTGAATTTTGTGACGAACCTAACAGATTTTATTCTGTTGGGTAGACTATTATTAGTTATTTATTATACAAGGGAAAAAAGTAGTAGATTATAGCTCCAGGTTGCGGAGGGAGACAAAAAACCGTGAGCTAAAATCTTGTATTTTCCCGTGTATAATACACTATTATAAGATATTACATTATTTTGAAATCTGAAAATTATCAACGTGAAATTTTAAGTTTTTAACAGTAGGGACACCTGCGTTGTAGGCATCTTTATCATTCTATTGAAGTAATCAAATATCTGATGTCACTTCTGTCAGTCTAATTCTGTGATTTGATTTAAAAAATTGCGAATTTAGTGGTTCTTTAGTAATATACCCAACCGCAAAGTCAAATGGAAGATAAATGGACTTGCAGTTCTTTCTCGAAGACGATATTATTGACTCATTTTTCGGAACTATAGCTCAACAAAAGCCATCAACAGTGATATATATGTGATATATATCTGGGAAAAAGTTACTCACTTTTTTCCCACGGGAAAAAAGTGATTTATGAAAAGTGACATTTTATATCCTGCCAACAGAGATGAAATGCCAAACTTTTTTCCCGTCACAGAAAAAAAATATTATTCCACAAAAATACAATGATTTTTTCCCGAATTGAGTTTTTATTTTGACAAATGTCAAAGAACTGCACTGTATTGATATTTTCTGTGCCTAAAGTGTACAATTTTTCAATATCAAAATACTGTTTCATTACTTTACGAAAAAGTGTGTACACGTTTTTGAATAAATGAATGCTTGGGGGAAAGGGGCCTCATACACTGCGTTGTTGGTAGGCTGTTCTGTTCTACAAACAAGACAGTTCAAACAAAAATGACGCAAAACGTGTGTGGCTGCAAAATGGTCGTTCTCGCTAGCCACACACTCATTTTTGTTCACACATACTTGTTTGATGAACAAAACAGCCCACCAAAAACGCAGTCTATGGGCTCCTTTTCGGGATTCAGCAAGGCAGCAAGCGAACAAATCAAGGCGTTGTTTTGTATGAAGTACCAGTGAAATAGAGATGACACGTGCGTAAAGTGGTTTTTTTACTCATAGGAATTGTCGTCAACATTTCCTACTCATAAAAAAAGTACCACTTTTCACACTTGTTACATATATTACTATTGAAAGGAACTTTTTCAAGAAATGAACTTTATCAGTAAAGTCTCAAATATATTTTTTATCACTTGGGGCGCACGAAAGGGGATTCCTATAATGTTCGAAGAACATCGTGCGTAACACACAATGCACTGATCACGTAGATTGTCTATGTTGTGTATTTATCAACACACTTTCATTATTTTATTTTCTACTTCTTTTTAGTTTGGCTATCTACAGTGTGACCCATTTAAAATGGAACCACCCCTGTATCTTATGTAATCGTTGGGTAAGGATCCTGAAATTTGCTGGAGCGAGAGATATACCAAAAATGCACTCTATGACCAAGTGGGGTCATCTTCAGTGATATACACTGCCCGCCAACAGCCATGAAACCACCCCAATTTCTGGAGAATGATATTAGGAGTTAAAATAGGTTGAAAATCACGTCGGATTCGGAATCAGGACGTCCAAGTTACTAACTATTCAAAGTTTTCCTAGAAGATTTTCAGTTCGGAAAAATGAAATTTTGTCGCATTTTTTATGGAAGCACCCCCGTATCTCACGTAATTATTGAGGTAGGGTTCTGAAATTTGCCGGAGGAAGAGAAAGTCCAAAGATAAAGTCAATTACGTGAGATACGGGGGTTCCATAAAAAATGCGACAATATTTCATTTTTCCGAACTGAAAATTTTCCAGGAAAAAATTGAATAGTTAGTAAATTGGGCGTCCTGATTCCAAATCTGAAGTGATTTTCGACCTATTTTGACTCCTAATATCATTTTCCGGAAATTGGGGTAGTTTCATGGCTGTTGGCGAGCAGTGTATATCACTGAAGATGACCCCACTTGGTCATAGAGTGCATTTTTGGCAAATCTCTCGCTCCAGCAAATTTCAGGATCCTTACCCAACGATTAAGTAAGATACAGGGGTGGTTCCATTTTAAATGGGTCACACTGTATATAAGGGTGTTTCTTTAATTTTTCAAACTACTATTTATTTTTTTATTGTTAAACATTTGTGTGTTCTCTGTCACAAACCAATGTTGTTTCTGGGGAGTAATATGGTTCATTGATAATCGAATTGCAGACGTCAACCCACTGACCATGGGTATCGAAACTGTGGGCGGAGTGATGACCAAGCTGATACCCAGGAATACGGTCATCCCCACCAAGAAGTCGCAGATCTTTTCCACGGCTTCGGATAACCAGCACACCGTCACCATTCAGGTTAGTGTTGTTCATAATCAGATGATTTAGATAATCGAATTCTGGTGATTCAAGTGTTTGGAAACATGGGATTATGATTAGAATTAAGGCGGATTCATTCAGCATTCATCATAAATAGTTATTACATTTTCATTATATTTGAATTATTTTTGGATTTATTACAAATGGATATTCATCATACAGGACGTGGAAAGAAATTCTGAATTGAGAAGATCCAATCACGTTTCTGCGATTAGAGGTCTATAAAAATAACAAGTTTCCATCGTTCAAGGCTGAACCCCTTGATTGGGTATGAAAGTATCGAAAAGGAATATTCTCAGATATATTATGAACATGAATAAATTGATATATATACAGGGTGAAATAAAAAAGTTGAAGAAACGCCGCTTGGCAAAAATGCTAAAGAGTTAAGGGGAACTAGAACCACCATATTTCAGTGAAGGGATGAATCACCCTGTCAGCGCAACATACCCCAAATTTGAAATGTCAAATGGCACTACCTCTTTTGTGATATCTCAAATGAACGGTCTCAGTCAGTAGTATTCACCTGTACAAGACTTTTTTTCCACCCACTAAAGGGTGTACGAAAACCATTAAGTCGAGGGTCTAAATTTGAAAACTTTCAATGCGAATATCTCGCTAAATAAAAAAGTTAGGAAAACGCCGTTTGGCACAAATGCTACAGAGTTAGGGGGAACTAGAACCACCATACTTCAGTAAAGGGATGAGTCACCCCGTCGGCGCGACACACTCCATCTTTGAAATGTCAAATGGCACTACCTCTTTTGTGATACCTCAAATGAACGGTCTCAGTCAGTAGTATTCACCTGTACAAGACTTATTTTACTCCAACTACAGGGTGAACGGAAAACAAAGTCGAATAAAATAAAATGCAGAATGCCGATATATTCCAAGAGATGTGTTCCAAAATGTTAGAATGGCATTAGAACATCGATTATACTATTGCTTACAACAGAATGGAATGCATTTTGAACATCTGATCAAATAAAATATCCTTTTAACACAATTCATTTTATTTTATTCGACTTTATATTTTTCGTACACCCTGTAGGGGGTGGAAAAAAAGTCTTGTACAGGTGAATACTACTGACTTAGACTGTTCATTTGAGGCATCACAAAAAAGGTAGTGCCATTTGACATTTCAAAGTTGGGGTGTGTCGCGCCGACGGGGTGACTCATCCCTTGACCGAAATATGGTGGTTCTAGTTCCCCTTAACTCTTTAGCATTTTTGCCAAACGGCGTTTTTCTAACTTTTTTCTTTCGCGAGTTATTCGCATTGGAAGTTTTCGAATTTACACCCTGTATCTATATATAAAACAGAAATACATTGAGAAGTCTGTTAAATATTCAGAATATTATGTGCATACATATTTTTATGTGAAGCAGAATGCGAATTCTCATCATCGGAAGATTTTATTTTCAAATTCTTATCATGTGTGTTCAATAGATATAATTCAATGTTTTAGGATCTGTACTATATCCATTTTATGTTCAAAATATCAGTGAAATTGGTCTAGTGAGTAAATATACCATGTATGCACATGATACAGTACTTTTATATGAAAGCAATAATCCTTCAAATTCAGAAAATGATATATGAAGACTTGAAAATATTTGAAAAATGGCTCCACTCTAGCCTTTTATCGATAATACCTATAAAACAGAATATATGATTTTTTACCGAAAAATGAACACAAAATTTACCTCAACCTTGAAATATAAAATGAACTCTTGAAACAAACTGACCAGATGAAATATCTTGGTATTTGTTGAATATTTTTTTGATACGGAATTCTGGAATTCAAACTAGACAATATAACTTGTTTCATCTTGACGCCGCATAGCCGGATAAAAAAAAATCAGCCTCAACTGGATTCAATAAACTACCTGGCAATATAAAAAATTGCAGAAATATAGGTACATTCAAAAATGAAGGTAGTTGTTTTCTGTTGAATATACCGAGGAAGAATTAATATTTCCATCACATAGAGAATGGGAATCCTCAATGTATTTCTTTATATACAGGGTTGGCCATCAGTAACGCCTCGGTCTCTAGAAGGCTAACCACTTATCTTCTTGGAATTCTTCCTCTCTAGGAAGTTGCATGTCAACATAGGCTACCATTTGAAATTATTTTGAAACATACAGGATGTCCCCAAAAATCACAAAACACTGAAGTTGAACTTTTTTCAATCGGAACACCCTATATATAATTTCATTTTGAGTTTCTCCCTGGTGAGCTGATTTCAACAATCCATCATACTTGGGGTCTAGCAGTTATAATTATTATAACTGCTATCTATTATAGATATAGGGTGTGAGAAATCGAGATTTTCCAAGTTCAAGAATTTTTGGTGTCTAAACTATTCATGATTGGTCAAAACGGCTCACATGTCCCTATCTCAACTCTTGATCAACTATCTACTGACATTTAATTGAAACAAATACAGGGTGGTGCAGAATTCAGAATCTTGATCACCCGGTATATGTCCCAATTAAATATCAGTAGATAGTTAATCAAAAGTTGAGATAGGGACATGTAAGCCGTTTTGACCAATTATGAATAGTTTCGACACAAAAAATTCTTGAACTTGGAAAATCTCGATTTTTCACACCCTATATTTCAGTAATTATAACTGCTAGACCCCAAGTATGATGGGTCGTTGAAATCAGCTCATCAGGGAGAATCTCAAAATGAAATAATATTTAGGGTGTTCGATAGAAAAAAGTTTAACTTCAGTGTTTTATGGTTTTTGGGGACACCCTGAATGTTTTGAAATATTTTTAAATGGTTGGCTATGTTGACATGCAACTCCTAGAGAGGAAGAATTCCAAGAAGATAAGTGGTTAGCCTTCTAGAGACCGAGGCGTTACTGGTGGCCCATCCTGTATATTAATTTTTTCATGTTCATAATATATCTGAGAATATTCCTTTTCAATGCATTTAAATTACATTTTCACTTGTCATGAGGTACAACTCCATGAAACTTCATAATAAACTGATTATTCAAGGTTATATGATTTGTTTTGTTCTTCCAAATCTTTACATGATATTTAAGGATATTGTGTTTATTTTGAATATGATTGTTGAAGAAAGCCAATTTATTATTATCATTATAATCGGATGACCCTTATTATTTCAATAATCGGATTATCATTTATTTTTAATTCTAATTATAACATCATTAATTCAGGTGTATGAGGGCGAGCGACCAATGACCAAGGACAACCACTTGCTGGGCAAGTTTGACCTGACGGGGATCCCCCCAGCGCCTAGAGGAGTGCCGCAGATTGAGGTGAGAAATTTTTTTAAAATTAGAACTTGGGCTAATTTTTATAATTTAATCGAATCATGAGGGAAAAAAATGGGGTATCCATTTGAGAGAATTTGGGATATTCAATGTTTCATGATCCGTTCAGACTTCAATTTTTTTTTTTTTTGAAATAGTTACATTTATTCACAATTGTATATTATAATATATAATATATAATAATAATAATAGTTTTTTAATAAATTAAGAACATCCCGAATCAGCTAATGCTGGTCTTGGGATCATAATAAAATGAACTAGTGCGAAAATAAAATATTAAGGATTAATTCATCTAATATATATAAAAAATTTGAATAATTTATGTAAAGATGATTCGATCAATGATAATATTATTCAAGAAATGGACATAAGAAATTAAAAATTCAAACGACATAAGCAACAAATTGATTATCAAAAACTTTATGATGAATATAAAATACAAAGAAATTGAGTCAATGAAAAAAGCAAAGGCTCAATATATAAATTAACTGTCGTTGCACTGTTTATTCTTGAAACTGTATGCCTGGTATACAAACACAAAACGGAGTTTGACTTTGTTTCTTCTCCGTATGCTACTCGTAATAGCATATTTAATATCAGACTTCCCAGACCCAACTCAACATTAATCAAGGATTCCATTTTTTATAATGGTGGAAAGCTTTTCAATCACTTACCAGTAGATATAAGAACTGCAAATCTGACCAATGTGCATTTTAGGAAAGCAGTGAGAAATTTGCTAGCTGATAGACCCTTTTATAGCCTACAAGAGTATTTTAATGAATCCTTTTGAAAATATGTGTAATCAATTTTACTTTTATTGTATATTATGTACTTGATTTAATATAAAATTTTTTGTTACTTATCTGTTCATATCTATACACTATTATTTATGTTTATATTCATATGTACTTACAAACCTTTGTCAATGGGATACAAAATCTTCTGACAATAAAGAATATTTGATTTGATTTGAAAAAAATAAGAAATTTGAAAATTCTGAAGGTAACTCAACCATAAGAAAATGTGGGACACTATAAATTATTGTAACAGAAGTACATCAACATTGAAAAATAAAAAGGAAATCGAATCATTAAAAATCGAAAGTTGAATAATTACTGATGATCTGAAATAGCCAGTGTTATGAACGATCATTTCTCGAGTATTGGTGATAATTTAGCCAATGAAATTAATTCATATTATAACAACATTCTACAAGAAAAAAACCTTCCAGAATACAATGATTCACAACGATTCTGTTTCCAACTGATAAAAATAAAGTTATTTCATACACTGAAGAAAAGATGTCCTGACTCGGAGGGTTTATGAACCAAAGATATATATGAATTGAAAACATTCTGCCTGAACCCTTGACAAAATTAAACAATAATTATTTTGTATTAGGCATTTTTCCATATGAATTGAGACATGCTTCACTGAGACCTATATTCTAAAGTTGGGGATGCTTAAGATCCAGAAAATTACAGACCAATAGCATATTTTCAAAAATATTTGAAAACATTTTGAAGCGTATTGTAAATTTTATAAACAAAAAATAAAGTTTTGATAATAAACAGTTTGGTTTCTAAGAAAATAGTGGCACACAAGCAGCAGTGCTACAAGTAGTACAAACAATTCAAGAAGGACTTGATACGGGAAATTGCGTTGTAGCTATTTTCATTGAACTTGAAAAGGCATTTGATGCAGTTGACCATAAGAATCTTTTGGAATACCTGGAATCGATGGGACTCGAGAGGCATTATTAAAATTCTTTTAGAATCTTATCTTGCGAATAGGACAATCAGTACTAAATGTCTCTTGAATTGACTCGGCCGTTACTCGATGGAGATCCATGGCAAATGTAAAAACTTCACGAACGATAAGATTTCCGCAAAATTCTTAAACACACAACAAGTTTCGCTAACACAGTAGCTTCGTCAGGTGTAAAGAAAATTAGCGAGGTTTTGTGTTTCTGTAGAAAATTTTACTGATCAAATATAATTGACAAAATTCTAAAAAAACACAAATACACAAGGAATAGAAACTTAGCATACAGTAGTCAACACCAACTAGGTCCAAAACCTCACTATTTTTCTCAACCTTATATAAACAAAGTTTCAAATCAAATTTCCAAATACCTTACTTTCGAAACTTTGAGTAATTTGGGCTCCTCACTTATCAACACAAAAGATGAAATACATTTTTTCGGTAAAAGTGGTACATATTTACAAACTTGTTCAGATTGCAACAGTACTTATGTTATTTATTCATTTAATTATTTATTTATTTATTTATTGAACAAATAACTTCCAGACAGAATAGGCTCTGGTATAAGGAAGTACATAATCATATACCTATAGGTATATCATTATTCAAAATATATCAACAACTATAAATTGGCAAACAAGGAATAATACTTTTTTTTCATTTTTGATATTATATGATATTTCAAACAATTGATTGGTTGGTGTATCAAATGGGAGACGATACAATACTTTTAACGATTTTCTATATAATGTTGATATTTTATTGAAATTATTTTCTGAACGAGATCCCCAAACATTTATTAAATAGTTGATATGACTCAGTATATGAGAGTACAGAATCATGTTTGCAATTTTAATATCAAGTTTGGGACATCTTCTCAATGCACCAATAATTGGACTCCAACCTGTCATCAAACCAAATACCAAGATATTTTATCTGGTCAGTTTGTTTTGAGAGTTCATTTTTTATTTTTGATGAAAAATCATATATTCTGTTTTGTTAGTATTTATCGATAAAAGGTTAGAGTGGAGCCATTTTTCGAATATTTTCAAGTCTTCATTTATCATATTTTCTAAATTTGAAGGATTCTTGCCTTCATATAAAAGTACTGTATCATCTGCATACATGGTATATAAAAGTACTGTATCATCTGCATACATGGTATATTTACTCGTGAGACCAATTTCACAGATATTTTGAACATAAAGTAAATATAGTATAGGTCCTAAAACAGAGCTCTGTGGGACACCCTTATTGATTAATAGTTTATTTGACACAGAGTTGGTTGATTTTGTATTGATTGTCCTATTTTCAAGATATGAATTCAAAATATTTCCCACAGTGCCTCTGAGTCCCATTGTTTCTAAGTTTTCTTAAAGTGTTGTATGATCAACTGTGTCAAAAGCCACATAATTTCCTGAATAAGTCCTCTCTGGATTGATTCTATTGGAAAAACCATCAGGAAAGTATCAGTCAGAGCTCATGAACATGTCAACACTTCTAGTTTTGGTGAACATTAAAAAACCAGTATTCACAATTTCAACATAGATACAGGTGTCAAAATATTACATAACGTTAAAGGAAAAAACTTACAATTAGATTTATTAGAAGACTTAGAAATAACGAGGGAAAGAACTTCCAATACATTTTGTCCAAATACACAAATTCATTTACAAAATTCCACCCAATATTCAAAGCTTTGAAAAAACTCCCAACCAATCAGACAATAACTTCAATCCCCACTCCTTGAATTCACTATTGCTACATCCATTCATAACATTTTATTGCCTCAATCAAACTGCTCCTCTTTGTTGATAGATTGGTTTTATGTCAACTGTATGTCAGCATTGCAAATGTCATTAGTCTATGTCATTAATTGTCTTTCATTAATTTTAAGGTTCTTGTGTTTCTTAATTAATGTTAAACCAGTCAATGTCTTGATGGTCTGTCAATTTAAATCATTTTTCAAGATGTCATATGCATTTTAACTTTAACCTCATTCACCCAGTCGTCCCGCCGAAAATGTGAGAGCACATGTACAATTGCTCTTCTTTATTTTATTATAGTTAATTTTAAACAATGCACTTCCCTCGAAAAACTTGAATTTTTCAGTGTTGAGCACATAATAATGTTCTTTTTGTGTTTCAATATTCTGTAAAAAACTCTGACAAGTGAGTGAGTAGATCATAATTAAAATTTATCATATTTATTAACCTATAACAACTTCAATTCAATTTTGTAACCTTCCGTCACTTTCAGAAATTTTTTATTTTTTTTTGAAGTACAATTTTGTTTTGATGAGAAACTCAGATTCATCTTGATTCTGCTACTTCTATACTTGGCCAAAAAAAATTACACACACTGCTCTAGCTCAATTCAATAAATTACCAGGTGATTGAAAATTGTAGACATATTTCAATATTCAAAATTGCGTTGAAAAAACACATGATTTTATTTCAAAATGGATAAAATTGATACTTTGCCATCTACTGATTAGTCCCTGTTGCCATGTTAATGATTTGATCGATTCAGCATTTTTAGTTTTTTTTTGATATTTTTTTGTTGCCATCAACTTCCTCATACCAGAATTTTATTTCTGACTGGAAGCTATTTCCTCAATAAACAATGAACAATAATGTCTTCGTCTTACGGTACCGATTGCGGAACATTGAGAGCTGCCTTATGGTACCTATAAATTGTTCATTGTTTATTGAGAAACTAGCTTCCAGTCAGAAATAAAATTGTGGCATGACGAAGTTGATTACAAACAACAATGACAAAAAAACATAAGGTGACAACAGCAAAAAAAAACTAAAAAATCTGAAAATGCTAAATCGACCGAGTCATAAAAATAGAAACAGCTAGAGCAGCGTGAGTAAATTTTTTTGGCCAATTATAGAAGTAGCAGATTCAAGATGAAATTAGTTCAACTGTCTCTTGTGATGACCATGAATTTTTGAGTTTCTCATCAAAACAAAATTGGATTACAGGTTATTGTTTATGATATTATATGAAACTTACAGAGAATCTATTTTATACAATTCATCCAATGTATATTTTTCTGTTGTCTCATACAGATCATTTGTTGGGATATCAAATAAGAGCAGACTTGGGTCGAATACTGAAATCCGGTATTCGAATAGGAATCCTGAATACTGTACTTTAAATTGTATTCGAATACTCAAGATTCCAATACAAAGAAAAAAAAGTATTTGAATACCGATGTATTCGAATACTTGGATTCATTCACATATGAATATTTTATGAATATTCCAACTGAAAAAAATTTATAAAAATATATAAAAGAAATAAAAAATCTATATTAAATGAAACTTGATGAATAATTTTTTGATACAAAGTGCCACAATGAGGTTGAATAAAAAACATTTATTGTTTTATTTCTTAGTTTTATTTGAAAAATTGTTCAAAATAAAACGATATTCAATTAATGAACGAAACTTGATATAAAGTACTTTGGTTCATTGGATAACAGTAAGGTAACACAAAATAATTGTTTAGCAAGATAATAATGGAAAATGATCTCGAATAATAAATAAAACTTAAAATAAACTTCATTCCATTTCAAATGAAACATAGGAACTAATAAAATATATGTATATGTTTGAACACGCTCAAGTTGCGTTAAGCCGGAGCCGTGGCAATATATGATCGACCAATAATATATAGCGACGGCTCCCTTTAAGCGTAACGCAATATTCATAGAAATAATCGAAAAGAATCCGAAAACAGGATTAGAATACCGGGAATCGAATACAGGATTTGGATATCGAGATTCGAATACAAGATTCGAATACCGGAAATCGAATACAAAGTGGGTATTTGAATACTGGGATTCAAAAACGGTATTCAGAATCCAGAATACCGAGTACTGACCAAAAAAGTATTCAGTCGAATACCAAATACACAATTGTATTCGAATAGTATTCGAATACCAGCCAAATGTATTCTGAATAAGATTCAGAATACTGGGTATTCGAATAAGATTCAGAATACTGGGTATTCGAATACTACACAAGTCTGAATGAGAGGCGATAAAATACTGTCAGTGATTTCTTATAAATCAGGGGTCACTCTCCATAAAAAACATGAAAACCGTCAGATCTTCTAGGCACTCTAGTTTCACATCCCGCCTTCCTTTCCAGGTGACCTTCGAGATCGACGCGAACGGTATCTTGCAAGTATCGGCCGAAGACAAGGGCACCGGCAACCGCGAAAAGATCGTCATCACCAACGACCAGAATCGTCTCACGCCCGACGACATCGACCGCATGATCCGCGACGCCGAAAAGTTCGCCGACGAGGACAAGAAGCTCAAAGAGCGCGTCGAAGCGAGGAACGAGCTGGAGAGCTACGCGTACTCGCTGAAGAACCAGCTGGGCGACAAGGTATGGTCTTGGGATAATTATGAATCGTCGAAAATATTTTATGACTTTTCCTTATTAGAGTCACTGGATGGTATTAGTCACATAAGAGTTTGGACACAGAAATGACAACTGTTTGTGTTTTTGAATGTTTAGATTTATTAAGTTCCACACCTTGCATTGTGACAAGAGCACCATAGTCGTTCCGCTCTTTTCATTCAAAGTTGTTTTAATTTGACAATTCATTTTATGAATATGTATCAGAATTGATATAAAATTTCAGAAAATATTGCCAAAAAAGCATAAATGAAAATATCCTGCTGTGTAATGAATTGTGGGAATTCTGAAAAGTTTAACACCTTGCATTGTGACAAGAGCACCATAGTCGTTCCGTGCTTCTTCATTCAAAATTGTTTGGATTTGACGATACAATTTATGGACGTCAGAATTGAAATATAATCTCGGAAAAAATTGCAAAAAGAGCATAAATGAAGATATCCCGCTGTGTAATGAATTGTGGGAATTCTGAAAAGTTTTACACTTTGCATTGTGACAAGGGCACCGTCATTCCATTAGCATAACAATTATTAACAATATAACGATAACAAATAATTTTGTCATTGAAAATTTACTAATAATTAATAAACATGATCATAGTATTGATATTGATAAGATGAACCACAGAATGCTTAAAAATCTGACATAGGATAGGTGTAGGTGTCAAATGAGTGTCAAATGGTTCTTGGGAATAATCATGCCAAAAAGTTGACCAATGGGTGACCCCGCTGCTTTCTCATATATCTATCCTTGTTCATCTCCAGATTTATATCTTCATAATAATATGCTCCATGCCTATTCAACTCTCAATCCGAAGAGATGCGGTGTTGGTTGCCTATAGGAATGATCTCGGGAATGATGATCTTGTAGGCAAGGTTTATACATGTTTATACAGAGTGGGCCTTTGAAAACGAAACAGAGGCTCTGTAGGTCGCCAAAACCGGATTATGAAAATAATCTGAAACACGTCATCTACATTTTCGAGGGGGACATCGTCCTACAATATTTTCAGCCCTGCGGCGTTGCCGCTGCTAACGAAAAGAAGCAACAACTTTGTAATTTCAAATGGAACACCTTGTATTTTATTGCATTTTTAGATTCTCCCCGAAAATCTGATTTCATCAATGCATCACACTTGGGGTCTAGCTGTAATGGTTTCAGGGATATAAAGTGTTCAAAATCGAGATTTTTCAACTTTAACATTTTTTTGTGTCGAAACTAATCATTATTGGTCAAAACGACTCCCATATCCCTATCTCAACTTGTGATTCACTATCTACTAACATTTAATTGGAACAGATACAGGGTGATCAGAATTCTGAATCTTGAACCACCCTGTATTTGTTTCAAATAAATGTCAGTAGATAGTAAATCACAAGTTGAGATCGGGACATGAGAGCCGTTTTGACCAATAATGAATAGTTTCGACACAAAAAAATGTTAGTTGAAAAATCTCGATTTTGAACACTTTATATCCCTGAAACCATTACAGCTAGACCCCAAGTGTGATGCATTGATGAATTCAGCTATTCGGAGAGAATCTAAGAATGATATAAAATACAAGGTGTTCTATTTGAAATAACAAAGTTGTTGCTTCTTTTCTTTAGAAGCGGCAACGCCGCAGGGCTGAAAATATTTTAGAAAAATGTCTCCCTCGAAAATGTAGTTGACCTGTTTCAGTTTTTTTTGATAATCCGGTTTTGGCGACCTACAGAGCCTCTGTTTCGTTTTCAAAGGCCCACTCTGTATGGTAATGCCAGCAAAAAAGGAAATAAAACCACTTTTTATCCAAGATTCTTTAATCTGCGCTCAATTCCGGCTTTTCTGAATTCAACCTTCGGGAAGCATTGTCGATGTCTGTATAGGAGCTTCAGATTCATCATAAACTTCTCAACAAAACTATTTGAACCCTGGTGGCTTCTACCAAGTTACAAATATCACGAAATTTGTACTTGATGCCTGGTCAATTAATTGAGGTAAGCCATTATATTATTATATGAATAATTGTTGTCGTGGTTATATATTAAGCACGTGGGTGCATTTCACTTATGCTGTACAAGGTGATGTATCCCAACAATATTGATGTCATTTTATTTAGTTGTAGACATCACATTTACATTTCGGCATATCGAAAATACCAAGCCTCAGATTAAACACCGGAATCTCTTGAAATCTGTCGGGTCTTATTCAGCCACCAAATCTCCAATAAATCCCTGAGAAAAGAGTATCTGTGCAGTCGTTCCGTGCTTCTCCATTCAAAATTGTTTGAATTCGACAATACATTTTATGAACGTCAGAATTGAAATATAATTTCATGAACCATTGCGAAAAAAGCATTGATGGAAATATCCTGCTGTGTAATGAATTGTGGGAATTCTAAAGAATGGATTTCATTTTCCAAAGGAAATATCAACTATTCTCTCATGGAAGGAATGTATAAAATGGCCTTAATGAAAAATGAATTCGAAGACAAGCACAATTTGTGAGGTACATGCATTAAAATTCACTTCTAATAACAGCAGATTAGAATGAAACTATATTTCAGGCCCATTTTCAAACAGATGATTTTAAGATCCGTTTGAGAGAATCTACTGTTTCATCCATCTACAAAACATACCATTTGAAAAAATGTCATAATCATCAGCATCACACGAAATGCAAAACAAAATTATCATGGAGATAACAAAACTACCTACATAATGAAGATGAAAATTTGATAACAATACTGAGGAAATCAAGAAAATTGCAAGAATGGCGTTTTCAATACAGACCAAGTTCAAATTTTATCAGTGATAATCTTCATCTGAATAAATTTATCCTTGGGACTTGGACAGTAGTATTTCAATATTTCTGCATAATATTGTGTAATGGTAATTACAAATTCGATTGAAAAACATAATATATTGTAAAACCTACTTTTCAATTCAACATTAATATCTTCATGTTTTATCACCAGTACAGTTTCAATAAGTATATCCATATGGATCTATTTTGTCATATTGAAATGTTGTTACAAACATTCTTTTAAATTTCATAACTCTGTCCTGCAAAAAGTGTATCACTATGAGTGATTTGACAGAAAATCTAACCTCTAAAATCGTATCATACAATCAGGCGCTACTAGGGAAATTGAAAAGACAAAGAGCAGAATATATGTATTCTTTTATTCACTCAAACCATTGTCATATTGAAAATGGAAAATGACAGAAGTTCAGCTGTGTCCGAATTCTTATCAAACTAATACAATCCAGTGGCTCTAATCTTTATGATAGTGCCTCTCATTTTATACTTTTTTATCGCTTAGTGTGAACGAAAAGAAAACCCTATTATGTATGAGCCAACAAACAGAAGCCAGCCGCACATTTGTTGTTTCGTTCTCTACCAAGTGCTGCCTATCCTTTGCACTTCCTTTCACCGTACTGATGAGGGCCAAAAGCCCGAAACACGTGTTTACGGTTATCTCTTTGTGAGGGCTTTGTCCAATAATCTCTTCCTAGTCACTTCACAGTTCCCTCGATAATATTTGCATCTCATTTCTTATACTCCTGGACACGGATGTCACGCAGGTAGCTATAGCTGCCTCCATGGTGACTTTAGCTGTTTCCCTGAGACCTCAGGGTCTGCTGACCGAAATCACAAATGTGCGGCTGGCTTCTGTTTGTTGACTCCGTTTATTTGTTGTTTCGTTCACTACCAAGTGCAGCCTATCCATTCACCATACTGTTACTGATGAGGGCCAAAAGCCCGAAACACGTGGCTATGTCCAATAATTTCTTCCTTTTTTTTATTAAGGAGAAGCTGGGCGCCAAATTGTCGGACGAGGAAAAGAGCAAGATGGAGGAGGCGATCGACGAGAAGATCAAGTGGCTGGAAGACAACCAGGACACGGAGGCGGAGGACTACAAGCAGCAGAAGAAGCAGCTGGAAGAGGTGGTGCAGCCGATCATCGCGAAGCTGTACCAGGGAGCGGGAGGAGCGCCTCCTCCGCCATCGGGCGGCGAGGATGAGGACGAGCTGAAGGACGAGTTGTAGGGCGTGGTTTGAAGACTGAAACAAACTGTGTGAGTGGGCGAGTGTGTGTGTGGTTTTTTTATGGATACTTTGCGACTGTAATAATTTCAATACGTACAATAGTTTTTTCTGTTTGAATTGATGAAATCAACAATGTTTTTTTTTGTTAAATTGTATTTATTTTGTCAAATACTAGTGTTCGATTTTTGTGATTGTATTTATTTCATTTATTTTTTTGATTGCACACTCGTATTTGACTAGTCTTTTGTCAGTGTAATTTTTTCAAATAAAATTACGTCAATAAATAAATGTTATTTTATTTTCGAGCAGCCGAATTTCCTACACAGAGATGCCCAATTCCCACGATGCCCATTTCCCACTGTCGCCGAGTGGCGATCATGCTAGTTGGGCGGGTAAAAGTACCCTGTACAACTAGCATGATGACATTGATTGCCAGATTTGAGTTTGGTCTGGTCTCGTATCTGTCAGGGTTTTGTTTCTGTTAGAAAACGCAAGTTGGAGAATCATTTCTCTAATCTAGTCAATTTATCAATCCAATCATTCCCTATGGAGTATTTTCCATCGGAGGAAGTTTTCATGGTTTTCCATGCGAGAATTCTCAGGACGAGGAAGATAATCTTCGACATGGTGACCAACGTGGGGCCCTAAGTTATTCCAGATGGAATGAAACGAACCCATTCAACTGTCATTTCGAAAATAATCAGTTTCGTAGTTCTGAAAAAACTACGTGGCGCCTAACAACAAAACGATCAAACTAACAGTACCTTGAAAGAAGTAGCTCTGATCACAGCACATATCTGGGAGGAAATCAAATCTCGGTAAAAGTGCACTCATCATGCGATGGTTTTTTTTTTCGAAAATTTTTTTTGGTACTTACGTATTTCCGTCTGAAAAACACGAATTTCATAATGAAAATGTGAACAAACCACTTTAGTCATTGGACACTTTATATACTCATGATGTACTTCACTGACACATTTTAAGATAGAAAAGTCAACAGGAAATATGATTTTTATGGCGAGTTTTTCCTATTTAGTGAGCAAGCATACTAGATGACGGCCATTTAATCCATATGCAATCCAAATACAAGATGTCGAATGTCAATAGATTGCTTTGGAATGACATTACACACGCCATTATTTCAAATGATATTCTTCCTTCTTTTTACTAAACATGGATAAATCACAAGAAAATCACATTTCTAGTTGACTCATATAACAAAAAAATGTGTCCAACATTGTGTTATATATATAAATTGCCCAATGATGGAAAAAGAAGGGCAAATTGTTCTAAATGTGATCCAGAAGACAGGCGGAAAAGATGGTGAAATTTGTAACTTTATAGTGAAATATCTTAATAAATGATGGTTTGTTCACATTTTCATTATGAAATTCGTGTTTTTCAGACGAAAATACGTAAGTACCAAAAAATTTTTTGGAAAAAAACCCATAGCATGATAAGTGCACTTTTACCCAAATCTCAACAAACCGTGAATACCATCAAATCATTAAGCTACAGCGGCCTGGATTGGCAGTGCCCTCGGCAGTTTTTATTGGATCTCGAGATACATTTTGAGTAGTACCGGATTCCTGGGAGCATCCAAGTTCAGAAAGCGGCCGAATTTCTAGAGGGTGAAGCAAAGCGTTGGATTAGTTCTTTCGAAGGACGAAATTTATCATTCTCTGATTTTTCCGGTAGATTCCTCACTAAATTCGATAATGCATCCATCCAAGGTAATCTTTTTGCTCGCTTATATGGTGGAAAGCAACGAAATGAATCAGTAGCTGTTTTTTTAACGAAGAAGAAAGCCTTATATCTCGTCGCTCAGAACCTAATTTGCCTGAAACCACTATGATAACTCGCTTTTTGGAGTTGTTAATTCCTGAGCTGAGATTGAATCTACGCGAGGATTTTCTACATGGAGCAGATGATTCAAGAGGCTACCGTGATAGAACAGGATTTGATAGAGGTATAGTTCATCCAAAAACAATTGCAGATCCTCATGCCGCACCTGCAGTCACTTCAAAGGAAACTTCATACACGCCGACGCCGCACAGTGCGAGATATTCTGCAATGGGCGTGTACACCTTAGTAGAACTTTTAACTCAAACCATGTTTATAATGATCCTTTTATACATAAATAATGATTGACGACATAATTCGATCGAAAAATTAATCGGAATGTTTTATTTTTGGACATAAATAATAGTACCTTCTGAAAACGGACACCCTCTTATGACGTAGAAACCTCATCTCGCCATAGTTGAAAGAAAATACCAAACGCCCGACGGAGACTGAGGCAACTGATATATTAATTATTTCAACTGTGATCTCGCGCTAATTCACTTTGTCAGAAATCATGTATCATTCATCTTTGTCTGGAACAGTCTTGTTTCAGTATTAGGGTTTCCCAGACAGCACCAGATATTCCATGAATCTCCCTATCATATTCCTTTTGGAATATTGGAATATTCTAGAAATAATCTGGAATATTCCGGAATATCTGTGGAATATTCTCTAAATATGCGAATGGAAATTCCTCAGATATTCATAGAATATATCCAAAAGAATATTCTATGTTGAATGTTCCTGGAATATTCCAATAAACATATATTCTAAAATAAAAAAGTCACCCAAATAGGGATCGAACTCGTGACCTCAAGACTATCAGAGCAACGCCTTGACCACTAGGCCAGTAATCGAATTGGATAATGTTGTACATATATCAATTTCTTGTGAGAGCGTTGTTCGAAATCGGATCATAAACACTTTTTGTTTCAAAATCCCCTTACATCTAATTGACGTTCGATACTCACATCTCTGAAATAATGATTAGTATTTATGTGTTGAGAAACATTGGAATATTCATGGAATATTTCATGAATATACACCACAGAATATTCAGTTGAGAATATTTCATGAATATACCACACAGAATATCCAGTTGAGAATATTTCATGAATATACCCCAAAGACCATTCAGTTGAGAATATTTCATAAATATACAAGAGAGAATATTTATTTTGGAATATTCCTGGAAAATTCATACCTGAATATTCCCTGAACATATCCGACTATTCACTTTGGAATATTCCTTTTAGATGTTCCAGAGGCATGTATATATATTCTAGGAATAATCGATGAATATTCGGAATATACTCCTCCTTTTTAGCATATTTAGAGAATATTCTAGGAATATCCAGTGCTGTCTGGGTTTGACGTCACATCATCGCCTCGTTTTCAGAGGTCCGAGAAATCGGGGATTTCAATAATTTTTTATAAAACGTAGGAAGCTCACAGCAAGAAACCGTTTGCGGTGGTGAGCTAGTTTTGGTGAGTTCTATCGAATTATGAAATAACATTTTCTTGTGATATAAGCCCATTGATATTGGATATACTTTACGTGATCGGCATAAATCGATGTCTGCACCAAGAGAGAACAATAGCTCTCACGCCGGTCCCCGCACACCTTGTCATTACTGCAGAGGCTGGCACTACAACAGAGATTGTCCACAAAGGAGAACCGCCTATTCTGTGCCTTATTCGCGGAAAAGAGACTTTTCAAGACATGAAAATCAGGAAAACTAAACCAATACCCGATCACAGCTCATCACGTATCAAAATATCAATAAATAATTCTCCTGTGTTAGCTCTACTGGATAGTGCAGCAAGTCACTCATTCATTCAAACAAGATTTGTTCGGAATCTAGAAGTGCAGTTGTCTTCATTGCCAGTCCATCTAGCTGATGGAAATCCCCAGGCAACCAGATGACGTTCCAGTGACGTCTTTTTTACGTCACTTGAATGACCAAGGTGACGTCAGTAGTTCACGTCGCATTGACGTGATAATGACGTGAATAAGTCACAGCCCACTGACGTCATATTACTCACGTCAAAATGACGAAGGAATTTAGCGATGATACGAAAAAAAGATTCCTTCAACATGGTGTGATATAAACACCACTATAGCCTCTGATGACATTATGCATTGTTGAGTCTGCTTGGTAGGTCCCTCCTGTGTCATTCAATCGCCTATTCAGCAGCGCCATCCTTCAGTATACATCTCCATCAGAATTCAATCAGTTACTATCGTATTTGTATAAAAAATTATGTAGTTTTTGTGTCGGCGAGATGTAAGCAAACAAAGAATAGTTTGATAGCAATGGAAAATATGTTGGCGAATTCAGCTTCACTTTGTTGAATAATGTATATTGATGCATTCTTTGTCACCCAACAAAAATCCAAATAGCAAATTATTGAAAAATTTACTAAATGACGAAGTTCACCAAATTGGTACGTCACACCGACGTGATTTTTAGACGTCATAGATACGTCACTGCGACGTCATAAGAGTATAACGGTTTCAATATAGGTATACCTAAACAATCATTTTTATATATGCGACATAGCTTGTTGGTTTCCGAGATATACCAGTGTGTCAGAGTTTTTTAGAAAAAAGTTTTTCTACTACTTTTCGAGTATATTAATAATTAGAATAAAACTTGCATGTTGATTTACTTTCATGAGTTATAGTTCTGTTTCACATGATAATATATAAGTATCCATGGTTTAGATAAGGTCTGAGAAAAATGGACGTCGACGGACGTCCCTGCAACGTCATATGAAACTGACGTCTTCTTTTACTCATCTAAGTGACGTTCACTCGACGTCGAAACGATGACGTGATTATCACGTCATAGAAAGTACGTCATAGTGACGTCATAAATTGGTGTGTGACGTCCCTGACAAAAATCACCAATTTGAGAAGTCACAGTGACGTGATCATTCGTCATCTGGTTGCCTGGGTCATTCCTTCAAAACTGAAGGCAAGATCCAAACTTCTGTTTCATTGCAAAATCACCAGCTATCAGCTGAATTCTTGGTTATGAAAAACCTGACTGAATAAGAAGCCATGCATTTTGGACTTCGTATTTGGTTGTATCTACCTGGGGAACAACCAACGTATCACTGCTTATTGGAGTAATTCATCAGACAAAACTGGAAATGGGTCCATATCCCAGTAAACCAGAGTTTATCCCTAGGAAGTCGCGAATAATTAACAACAGGAATACAACTTCCAATACGATGTTCAAAAAACTGTACCCAGTACGTAATTCCTGGCGACTTCCGAATGTCCGCGACACTGAAGATCCCACGTAAATCCATGAAACGTTGCAACAAACCATTTT